TATTAATAATATTTATGCATTAAAAATGGACGATAAGAATTTTTAATTCGTTTCAATCGGTTTCATATCTTATAGTTAGTATTAGATATATTAAACTAGGTATTTATTTAGTTGATTTAATTTAAGACATTGTCTACCTACTCATATCTAATTTTAACTATTAAATTAAAAAAACACTCAGCTTTTAAGCTGAGAGATTGGTACACATCCACAAAGACTCTAATCAAGTATATACGAGTATTGTATATATATTTTGGTTATGAGTAGGAGACATATCGTGCGCGATATATTTATAATACCGTCTGGACTTAGCAATGGTGTACAATATATTAATAAGCTTTATTAGCTAACCATTCTTACTTAAAATAAATATATAAATGTGATTGTTTCGTTTGTGTTGTGTTTCATATCTACCCTTTACCAATTTTTACCTTTATACGGTATACAAATTAATGGGAAAATCAAAGCAATATGGTAATTATCCAGCAATTGAAGTTTTATTATTACCCGACAATAAACAAATTAAATGTATTTCCTTAAGCAGAAAACTGCCCCTTGCCACCATTGAAGCCAAATGTGAAGGAAAACAAACTTTTGGCACTTAAACTATGTCTAAAGTGAGCAGCCAATGGGCAAATGGGGCAACAATTGAGTTATTGCTGCTTAAATAAACTATAAAAAAGGCGCTTTGTGTCTGAATACATATTAGGCATATTTATATATAGATTCTATATTACATATGAGTCTGGGTCATTGTAAACATATAGCTGAATATACTATGCAAAACGATAAATTTGCGAGTGGTAATTTTTATGGCGCCTTAAGTCGAATGCATAAAATGAAATTTAAATCGTATCAAAATGTGCGCCGCATTGAAAGTTATAAACAATGTGGAAACTTTTAATAATTGGCATAACAAATTGCCCAAATTCAAATTATAAATGTGTGTGAAAAATATAGCGTAAACGTATGAAGCTTATATATATATATATATATATATATATATTTATATATCTCTATATGTATATACATGTACGCATACATCAAGAATCTTTTTGTTGCTACAAAATTGTGGGGCGAACGTATTGAAAATGCAATTATTATGTTTATATAGGGGTAAACTGATATTAATAATAGGAATATTAATATTAGCCATAACTTAAACATTTCTTAGCAAATATTATTTTCTTATGGACACCAATAACTTTCCCGAACACGTATTATTAATGTTTTCAGTTATTCAAGTGAATTATACCGAAGCAGTCTAATGCTCTGTGCAAAGTGTTCGTAATTAAATTTAAATCAAATATGTCATCGACAGCAAAAGCTGCTAAAATGTATTCGGCAACAACAGGGCGTATGAGCAATTACTGAAAACACTTCAAACTGCAATAAGTCTATTTGAGTTAATTGCCGAAGCCGCCGATCAGTGCAGGCATAAGCAAAGATAAGATACGTCAATTCTCGCAAATCTCAGTGGGAAACCCATATATGATAAAATCTTCGCAGATTACGAGTCGGACAACACGCATGCTTTGTCAATTTGCTAAGCTATTATGTTTGTTGTTAGCAACACGACGGTTGTTAGCCCAATGCGCACAATGATTCAAAATATATATATATTTATATATATTTTTTTTTTTTATGTGCCATTAGCAAAAGGGACATTGAATCAGAATAAGAATAAGTTTTGTGCTTAATTACAAATTTCCTGCCTTGAAGAGGGTATTATAAATTAATTTACTCTTAGAAATAATAAAAAATATTGTTAATTACAAAGAAAAAAATATAATATTTTTAAAAAGTATAAATGAAAACCGTTATTTTTTAACAACATGCCTATTGAAATATTAATGAAATGATACCAATAATAATACCGATCTTTGAAGGAGGTTCCCAATAATCTATCCACCAAGTTTGACTTTAAAATTTATATTAGAAAAGGATACTAGAAATCTTTCTTCCAGGTTTGGCAAATGTAGCTTTTAAATTGCTGGAGAAGACTCTTCATCATTGTTCGAAGGGCGGAAGTGGGCGTGGGCTGAAAATGTATATGCTGATCTTTGAAGGAGGTTACCTGAAAGCACCCATCTAAGTGTTGCCTCTATCTTAAAAGTTGTGGGAGATATGTGGTTTTATCGATATACACTCTCTAACCTCGAAACTGCCGAAGATATAGCCATTTCAAAGTTTTATTGGCGGGTGTGGAAATAACTTGCGTCATACAGACGGACAGACAGTCTGACGTACATTGCACAAATCCAATATACTCTTATTACCATCATTGTATTTTTTCTGAATTGTAAAAAAATATAGAATGGAATCAAGAAATGAAAAACCCTGTTTTTAAGAAAGACACAACCTTCTGTTATATAAATATATTTTCTGAATAAAAAAGTAATCTACCGTTGCGCCAAAGATATGTAGGTTTTCTAAATTTCGGCCGATTTTTTTCCTTAATAAGTCTTCTTTGCCGAACAAGTGACGTTGCCAATCCTCACCAGAATTGCAATACAGTATAATAATAAATGATCCAGTTAAATTTCAGTCAGTCCGAAAATATTTCCCCAAAATACGATTTTTAAGTGTCTTGCATTCGCATGATAATATCTATTAGATCTATTAGCTTAGCTGTATTACATATTATTCTAAATTGTCGTTTAATGTGCTCAATTATTTGAACATTGACTGCTTGAAATTTAATTGTATGGCAGATATCTGTACTAATTGTTGAGAGGCTAATTATACTGGAAAAGTTGCAAATTTGCATATCGAATGAAGACTACTTCTTCTTAACTAATTGTATGTTGTGTTTAATTATACCCAGCCTTTTGGTGGATCGATCTTACTAGATGTAATTAATTTAGTTTAATCTTAATTTAATTGCTTTGCTGGTTTTTTCTTCGCTGATTAGACGATGTATTACAACCTGCCTATTACTATTTTCAAGTTGTGTGTTAATCTTATCTTCCAAAACTATTGGTTGTTTACTTCTTTGATATTATTTCTACTACGTCAATTGCTGAGAACATGAATGAATTATATCTTATTTGATTTTGAAAACAATGTTTATTAATTTTTCCTTAACTAATTACATTTTGATTTCAAGTTGAAATGGCTTAAACATGAGTCTAATGCACTTCAGGAAATTTATGTAACCGGCAGACCATATAAGGAATACATAAAATCAAATCCTAATTTGTTTTTAGTTTATAGATTTTATAGATGACTTCCCCCGTTTCCTATTGATTTCTGATTACAATAAAACTACCTCATTTTTCTAGCATAAACTTCCAAAATTGTTTATTTATTTCTAGGCAAAATATTGATCAACTGTACAAGCTTCATAAAGAACAGAGACTTTGCAACAATATGCAAACATTTTGTTATTCTTTTCTCAGGTGATTTCCGAAACAAGAATCTGGTTTAACGATATAAGAAAATTTACCGCTAAATTAAGGGTATCTTCTAGTCGTACTCTTGATCATTCTTATTTGGTATTTGTTTGATTGTTTTAAGCTTTGAGTTAATTCAAAGACGTTTGATTAGAAGATTAATTATTACTTTCTCATAGTTTATTGTTCCAGTTGTTTGTCACTTATCTAATCTTGTAAATGGATTTGTTCGATAATATAAGACTTCACAAATCGTTTTGTCTTATTTCATTTCTTCACTTTAACAACATCAATTTGGAACTAAAGAGTTATGCATTTCTAGTTATAAGTCTAACCTAGAACCGATCCATTGATATCATCGTCGCTGCCGCTGCTTCTTTTCCTCGTTGCTATTGGTCGCTGTCGCAGTTACCGTTGCGACCGATCGCAATTGGTCGGTGCACTTGGCACTATTATTGGCATTGCCGTGTCAGCTTACACGCAGTCAGACAATGACTTGCTAAATGATGCGTGGCTTTTTAAGCAGTGTTGTAAAATTTTTTGATTAAGGTCTGCACTTGCAGTGATATTTGGCGACATCATTTCCGGTGTTAAATAATTTTTACTCTACATAAAAAATGATGTGGGCACATAAATGTGGTGAACAATATCAGCTAGAGCTGTTTAATTTAAATAACAAAAATAAATAAAATAACATCTGCGGTCGCTCAATCGTTTGTCAATTTTGAAGTCGGCAACGCAAACGAATAACAAAAAACAAGAGAAAATAACCAAACACAACTCGGCAAATAAATGTTTTTTTTCTCTTCTTTTTACAACAGGTCGCCAGCCAATCAAACCAGATAAAACCGACTTTAATTCGATGAAAGGGGTTTCGCTACGCTCTTTGGCCCGATTGCGGTTGTGGTTGTTGTAGTAAAGTTGTTGTGTTGGTAAGTGTGTTAGTATTTGTGTGCTGTGCGATTTTTTGTGTGTGTGAATTAAGTAAACAAACGAGACAAGCTAATAGCAGGCTTAAGTACAAAGTGGTAGACATTAATAACGCAAACTACACATTGTCAGTAACAAAATTGAGCAAAGTCACAAAATGGCGCCACAATTAAATTAACACACAAAAATACCACCAGCCGACATTGGACATGCAAATATCCTGGCCATCTGCTGGTCACACTGCCTACCGTTTGCATTTTTATCTATCTACCTATGGATTCTGTTAATGTAAATGTAAACAGCCGGTCTGTTAAGTTTATATTTTGTTGACTTTAGTTGTTGTTTTCTGTGTGAGATTATCCCGCTATTGCTGCATATTCTCAACAGAGTGCACACACATGTGAGCGAGCGAGCGCGTGTGTGTGTGTGTGTATTGAAAATAGAGCGAACAGCAAGCAAACACTTGTTGAAAAACTCACCACACTCACTCTCTCACACAGACAAAGGCGCGCTGCGCTTATTTCCCGTACGCCATACGTATTTGATTGGTAATCAAGCTAAAGCCGAAGTAGCGCAAACAGTCAGCAGAATGGTGTCCATAATCAAAAGTCCATAATAATCAAACGGCAAACAGTTAACAGCGCTCAAACGATGTGCGACTGTCAGCGCGTCAAGTTGTAAATTGTAACCGCTGCCGCGTACCGACAACATTTTATTTAGCAAAGTGCTAAAAGAAAAACGTCAATCGTTAATTAATATTTTTTAGTTGAGTGGACCACGCGTTAAATATATGTCCACATTGTATATGGGCAGTTAAACGTTGCTGAAGCTTCGTCGTGTGCACGTCGTCTCCCTTTTTATATCCGTTTAAGCCAAATTTGGCAAAAAGAAAAAAGGAAAGGTCGTGCAGGACCCTAAATTTGCTATGCAAATGTGCGCGTTGAATAACTACATTTAATTAGATTCGCAAAAAAAATTTAAATAAAAATAATAATAAATAAATATATAAATAAAATAAATAATTAAAGTCATAACAATGGCAGATCGTTTTCAAATCTTAAAGGTTAACGGCAATGCCAGTGTGAATGGCGGTTTCGACGAGGAACCCGGTTGCACGAACAACAACAGCAGTGCAGCAAATGCCGAGCTCAATTCAAATGGACCCGCGACAATTGGCGCGGATGAGAATCACCTGCAGCCAAAGGCTGTGGAGGGCTCCGAGAGTCGCCGCACATCTCGTTTATCCTTCCGCGGCTTTGGCCAATTCCTGCGCAAATCGGATACCGAGCGGAAGTTTAGCTTGGCGCAGTTAACAAAGTGAGTGCTGCAAACAAATACAAATATCTTAAATAGATAAAAAAAAATTAAATCTAATGGAAAATTATATTGAAATACTCAAATACCGATAATTTTATGGGGTCTGCTTAAATTTGATTGTACTTTTATTTGCCGTGTGTAATTTTGTGGCTGAAAATATTTGTGTTCTCCATTAACAACGATTTGTTAAACACATTAAACATTTTACATATATTGCAAATTAAATACTTTCAATATCGTCGATTCGTCTCGCTCATAAAATTATTCAGTGCCTAACAGAAGAAAATTAGTAAATATAAACAATGCAAAAAAAAAACACACAAATATAATAATATATTAAGTATTATAAACACTTTTCAATTTAATATCTAATAAATAAATTTTTGAAATTTATGTGAGCCATTATTCTGCCCCGCCAAAACAAATATCAAAAGTGGATCAACAATTCATTAATTAAAATATTAATAGAATTTTGACTGTCATTAAATTAAACAGTTCATTGGGAGTGAATGTAAGTTTAAATGTATTAAATGTGGATTACAATTCTAGTTCACTCACATGATAATATATTGAAACAAAAACAACAATAAATTAACACTATATCGCAAAAGCGTCTGTTTCTCATAACAATTAATTATTGTTCCCGAATTATATATGTGAATTTTTGCCTTTACTAGGCACTTTAGAATTTGCATAATTATTATCGCTTCCATAAAATACGATTTACGTGTAATGACAGATTATAAATTCAGTCCGAGGCTTATTCAAAAACACAGACAGCTAAGAGAGCGCAATTCAAAATAAGAGCCAGGCAATATTTAAATTTAGCAAATTGTCAAATGGCCTCTTAATACCATTTCAATTTTAGCAATGTTCAAAAATCATGAATGCTTATATATGTAAAACTTGAATGAAGGCTCATGCACTACATTTTTGTTTTGTTTTTACTTTAATCACGTAAAAACAACAAAAACTGCAATTGTTTTGCAAAAATAATAAGAAAAAAAATTTATAAATTTCATATCCAAGTGTAAAGATCGGCAACAAGTGTGAACTGGGAAGCTTGAACAGTCTAAAACTTCATCGATAAAAATAATATAATTTTAGACAGACAATTCATTTTGACTCTTAGCTACAATTATACATTTTATTTGAGAAAATACAAAAATGAGCAATTGTTAAGCACATGATAGAACACAAAGTCACGTTTTCGAACCGCAGGTCAAGATCATTTTTATCAAATTAACAGTGCACACATTGCAGTTGATTTCTTATATTTGCAAGTATTTGCATTTGTTTTCTGTTTTGGCTATTTATTTATTTTTATTTTAATTTTGTTTTTCAACAAACAGCTAAATAGAATTCAATTAAAAACATGCCAAGAAGCCGGCCAAAATGTGTAAGCATTCCATTTTACTGAATGAGATGTGGACGTAAATTCAATTTGGAAAAGTTTGCACACGGCAAACAAGTTGCATTAGCAAATCAATAATAAAACTGGGAAACTGCACAAAACTGAATACGAAAACTATTACCGAAATGGCAACATGTTTTCAAAGTCGAGGTGCTCTTATTGTTTTTGTTTTTTGTTGCAACTTGTATTGGTATTCAACTGAAAACAATTTGTGCCACGCATATCTCTCAACTAGATGCGTTTGTCTTGATTCGGTTTCTGGGTTTACCAGCTGATGACCTGTGTGTGATTGTATATAAATATATATAATTGAGCAAACTGAAAGACAAGCACAAATGGATCGAGTGTGGCTGAGTTTTGTCTCCCGCTTGACTTGCTTGCATATTTCTTCTGTTGCAGAGCTAAATCAGCCTAGCTAAATCTCAATCAGAGTCAATAGATCAATAGACACACACACACACACATATTGATATATTTATGTATGTATTTATATATATATAAATGTCTATACCCACACACTTTCAGCATACAATGCAAATTGTTTAGGCACATGACTGAATCATTTAAATATGAGAATTCGAATGCAGTTGCCTCTGCTTTTGCTCTGGCTGCTGCTGTCACTGTCTCAATCTGGTAGTTGAATTGAAAATTAAGAAATCAAAATGAACTCACATCATAAATAGAACACACAAGCCACTTTTAAACAACACATCAATACAGTAAGACACAAAACGCATCAGACTTCTCTCGTTATTGAGCTACATATCTAAACTGCTTTTAAGATCTAATTTGGCAATTTGGGGTATTCACGCAGACACACACATTAACTCTGTACAAGCTGAACTTGACACAATCATTCGTCGATTTCTTGGGAAACCCCCAATGTAGTTCAGGAAAGAATGCAACATTCTTCCGGCTAGTGAGATCATACACTGAAATTTCCTACTCAGGTTAATCTATTCGCCAGACTTCTTGACTTGATCCTTGAGCACTTGAAAAAAAATATCGTCGCTTTATTAACTAAGATTTTTTTCCCTCCACGAATGATATTGGTTTATTAAAATGGAGTCTCTATTGATATAAATAGAGGACTCTGAATTGATTACATGTTGGATCTTAGAAATGACCACTTCCTTAGCATTCAAAATCTTCTTCAGATTATATGATATACAGCAGCCAAGCCCACGAATTACACATAATTGAAGGTGATCGCTTCATAAATAATCAGAATAAATAATCAGAAATTTCTGCTTCACATATATATTGCTTTATCTTTTTTGTTTTGGTTATTTCCATGCATATCGCCATATCCGTTGGATATTTCATTATCTTATTAATAAACATGCATAATAGATTGTTGAATCAGGCGTGCCTTGAACGGCGCTAGATATATATTTTTATTATTATTTATATTTCGATTTATCAAACATTTTGTATCGAATACAATTCTTCCAGTTGTAACTGCTTATCATCGGCAATATAGTTGTTTACCAGCTCGATGTTATTTTCCATCAAAACACGACTCTTTGATTTCATTTTCGAATATTCCACCCTTCTTATGTTTATTTGCATAGTTTATTACTTAGTTAACATCTTAAAATGTTTATACTTTATTACTCACCAAATACAACGTAATTTATCAGTTTTCTACAAAAAGTATGCAACATAAAAATTATTTTCTCTGTCACCAAATTGAATTGCTAATCTAAGAAGTATTTTGTGGAATTTTTTGAAACTTCTGTCGCCTTCCCCTTTGCCTTACATACCACTTGCATACATATTTGGTATTCTTGCGATCTTGTGGCGCCATTGTCTGTTTTTGGTAATCGTTGCACTTACCCCGCTCATTCTTCACATTTGACTTTTGGAATACGCTTTTAAATTATCTCGGGCATGGGATTGGTTTTTGCTGTTTTCGTTTTCAATAAGTAAATATACATACATGATTAAAACAAAAATAAAATGAGATACAGTCGAGCCAGCCAGCCACTCAGTTCAATAGGAACATGAAATGGCTTAAAGGCAATAGTATTTTTCTCATATCGTGAATAATTTCACCATCTTGGCCTTCCCCTTGGGCACCTTGACCATGTGGCTTCCACATTTCTGCTTGTTTTTAATATAGTTGTTGTTCTTCTGCTCATTTTATTGAATCTTTAGCAAGTGTGTATTGTGTGTGGATATCTTTTAGTGAATATTTGTGCTTTGCATGCTGCTGGACACAGTCATGCTGACCGAGGCGATGAGAATTGTTCCGCCGTTTCATCAGTATGGATATATTATAAACTGGCCAACCCCCACTGCACCCCGCACATCAGCAGTCTGTGACAAATTGGCTAATCGGATTCTGTCTTTGTTTTGCAGGGAAACACTTCCGCGCCTGGACAACTATCGCATATCAATGCGCAATTTGAAACGGCCCTCAATCGGCGAACTTCAAGGCGAGGCAGCTGATCAGGTAAGAGAGTGTTTTTTTTTGAGCAGTGACAAATTGAAAATGTTAACTGAAATAATGTCATACATTCAGAAAAAACGTCGAACTGAATTTGGAAAATCTCCAGAAAGTAGTTCTTGTCGTTATCTATAAAAATAAAATATAAATTTCTTAAAGCTTCCTTTCTTTATTTAGAAATATATTTCTGATTAATACAAAATATTTCTAAAACGTTGAAATGTAATTTTCTAGGTTTAAAATGTTTGTAAATGTGAAATCTTAATTTTCTATAATAATAGCAACAATAAAGGTAAAATTTACGGTGAAATTAAGACGAAAAGATAAAACTTTCTACATTTCAGAAATATTCTTTTTGATTAATAAGCTAACTTACCCATGGTGTCAAATTATGGCGATTTTCTAAACTTCAGTGCTATTTTTTCCGAGTGTATATTTGTTACACCTGTAATTAGCATGGGGCTTGCAAAATAATGCGTTAGATTAGCAATAGATTAGTAATACAAAGTTTTATAACACATTAACACATAATATATAAATGTAAGAGATGAATACCAGCAACTATAATTAAATATATAATTTATATATAAGCTATAAAAATCACTTTCAATTTATCCTTTTGGGTTAGTTCAATTGTGTGATACCATTCTAAAACAATAACAATAACATTAATTCAAGTTCAACAAATGTTCTAGCAAATAAAAAACTTACCATTTGTCATTCAGACATAAAAGGCATTCCAGACCATCGTAACATACGTCATTTGAATTTAAGTGTAATCATTTTGTCAGACACAATAAACTTATCACATAAACTGCTCATAATTGGGTCATTATCGACTCTAAGCATACTTAAAATCGTAATGGCAACAAGTGAAAAATACTGCACATGAAATACTCTTGCAGAAAAGTATTAAAAATTAATATGTAAGCTTTTAATAATTATGAATATTTTAATACAAATATTAGTTGCTGTAAATGTACTTAGCAAAATCACTACATTTTTGTGTCTCAGTCTTTTGCCATCTGCATCTAGTTATTTGTATTTTGAAAATATTTCAACTGCTTAAATAATAATCAGTTCAAATCGTAAACCGCTTATATCTAAGAACATAAAATACATATAAATATAAAAGAATAATATACATTCATGTACTTATACAGACAAAACTCAGTCCAGCAAGAAATCAAAATTGTACTACTTTCCATATTCGTATATTGACAGCGATTTATCAATAATTATGGGCTAGATTATACCCTGTCCTCACGCTAAATGTACTGCTGTAAGAAATCATATATATGAGAATATTGATATAAAATATTCATATATGTATATACCATATTATTATTATTTTTATCTTGTTTTTATTTCGACATGAACTTGTTACAGAAAGTTACAAATCAAATTTGTTAAAGGTTTCAGCTGCCACAAATTAGAGGGTATTTGACGAAAACAAACACACTTTACTCTCTGTATTTTATAAGTGTTTGCACATTATTTATTAACACGATATCGTTATTTATTTACTTGAAAAATGTTCAAATTTTCAATGAGTCTTCCGTGACGTATGCGCAATATTATTTCGTATACTCATCTATTGGCAAATGGTGTTGTGCCGATGACGTAGCCAGTTCATCATTAACTCATTATTGTGGTATACCTTTGCCAAGGTCATTCGCAAGCTATGCGACGCCTTATCTTCATTCATTTGAGTGGCGGACTGAGGCTAAGGAGTACCCTCCAGATGCACACTTAGTCAGAGTTACAGTTTTAATGCTTATCGCCAAAGCCAAAACCAAGGCAATAAATTTTATGCGACTATTGCGTCTATTCGCATATTCCTTAATTAATTCACTGTTGGCTACCGTAGCGGCTTTGTTGCATAGCGTCAACGTGGCGTATGATAGATATCGTAAAAATTACATTACAGCGCCGGGTGGCTCATTAAGGGAATACCAACGAAATCGCCACATAAAATATAATGGATTCGGCTGCTTAAAGTGTGCGTCGCAGACGAGCTCAACTAGTAATTATTACAGCAGATAACAAATTTTTGTGAAATTAGATATATGTAAATACACATAATACTACTGCAGACAAACACATGTTCAAATAACAGATGCTAATATCTAGTGAATGAGATATAATCAATGAAAAATCTATTCAGTTATATTTGATGATGTCCGCTAAAGGGAAACCTTATTATCGAGTTGAGTTATTTTCGTCAAATATTTGATAAAACAGCTGTCAAAGCAGCAACTAATTTGCCAATTGTTCATTAAATATTAGAAATGTTACATTGTTGGGAGAAAAAGTCTTTCTACTGTTTTTATTGGAAAAGTGCGAATTTAAATTTGTTTTCGATCTGTTTGAAGACACGCTGAACCCATAAAAAATGATAAAAAGAATAAGTAAGTAAAAGAAAGTTGTATGTAAAAGCATCTCCAACCCAATAAAGTACATATACTCTTAGCCGATCTTAGAGTCTTTCAGAGTTGTGAGCTGCAACTCAATTTAAAAGTAAAACGTTTCGATTATGTATTTATGCTTTTGAATTCGAATCTAAAGATTTATAAGTGTTAAAAATCCACCCTATTTTTTGTACACCTGCTTATCGGACTTCAAGAATTTATTCGATTTTTACTTCAATAAATTAAAAAAAAAAAAAATGAAAGACAAAAAAAAAAAAATAAAGACTTAAAAACATATCTTAGAAAGCCTTAAGCGTTGAAATCGAATTTATATGCACGATAATCTGATTAGGAACCATAAAAAAAAATAATATATATATTTATATATATATATATATATATATATATATATATATACGATTTTAGAGCTTTGGTAGACATGAAATGTTTTCGTTTATAAATCTTTTTTGAAAATGTTGAAATACTCAACATCCAAGAAATGTATAAATACATGCATATACATTCAAAAAGGAGCACAGTTAATTTTCTAAAACTATTAAATATTTATTACGTATCAAGCGTACTAAGTGGATGTGTGTAAGTTGTTTGTGCTTATTGCCACGCAGTTGGCAATGGGGTGTCATTTGAACATGTGTCTTGAAAGATGACACCAAGGATGGCCTTAAAGCCAAATTAATTGTCAACAAAATGGTTGGAGCCTTGCAGCGCCACATGTTACATTGTTTTAACTGGCCACCCAACCAGCGCCGCACACAACCACTTTACAACACACAACCACTTCATAAAACACAGCCACATCGATAACAAATAAAAAAAAATAAAAAACATTGTTAGAACGCATTGCTCGAGCCAGTCAACAGTCGAGACAAGTGTGAAAAATTTACACTGCGCGCACTCGTATCATTAAAATTGACAGGAGCAAGAGCCGCCAACAGATGGCGCTGTCGCTGGTCGCATCGATCGACGTCAATTTTCATAGCAAGCCAGAGTGCTTGGAAGAATTGTATTAAAGCTGCTGCTTGTCAAAGCCCCCCAACTTGCCTGTCAGCACCTGTCAAGAGTGTTGACAGTTTTGCCAATGCGATAAGCGTTCACTTGAAAAATTATTATCAAACAACTCTTAATAAATTAAAATGTGCCAGCCACTAGAAAAATGCCAAAATGTAATCGAACCAGTTCGCAGCAGTTTTTCTTTTTCTTTTTTTTTTTGAAGAGCATTTTTTTTTGACATATTTCTAATAACACTTTCACATTTTCAAGTGCACATAATTAATCAAATTTGGTGATTATCCCATGTGATTTTCAATCAGATATTGTACATATCTCTATACGTACAGACATAAGTACTAAGTATTACGTATGTATAGTGATAGAGAACCGATTAAAAAAAAATAACCCTGTTATCAATTCGGAACTTGAACAATGACTTCTGTCTGAGATTTGATTTAATGTTTCGAGTGTCGGAAATTGGATGTCATGCTTATGTAAGGCGACCATGAGAATGCAAAAAAACAAACACATTCAAAAAGTATTAAATGATATGGGCTTGATTTTCTTATTGTGAAGTGGAGCTGGGGCCTTTAGTGAAAATAGTTTTTGATCAACATTAGTACAGTAATATATTATAAAATATGGGGTTGCATTTCGCAATTTCGAAGAACATAAGTATAAAAATAAAATTTCTAAAATCGGGCTGCTGTTATTGCCAAAATCAACTCATTATTTATCTTCTACAGTACATCTTTATAGAGGAAAACACTGTTCAGAAGAATCTTTTGAAAATTATATGATTACTCATTAATTTGTCTGTGAAAGTGCTATCTTTATGATTTTTCATAATTTATTTAATGAAAGTGTTTTTATGCCCCCTCAATTCCATAAATAAGACTAATTTTTACCAAAACAAACTTTATTTGTTTTGATGTTTAGTGTTCTGTAAATTTATTTTTATGTGACTGAAATAGACATAGAAGTCTGTGATAAGCACAGAATTTGGTGAAATTTTTTCTTCTGCAGCTATATACAAAATATTGAAATTTCGTGGTAAAAATTTGATTGCTTGTGATTGAAACGAAAAAAAATATAAGAAATATTTTTATGATTATTAATACTTTTCTCTACTTTGAGAAATTTATTTATTTTTATTTATTTATTTTATCATAAAGTATTTTAAATAAGGCACACCTAATCGAGTGTGTATAATTAAAACAGAATACTTAATTAGCACAGCGGCCAATTAACACTGATTTCCATTCTCAATTTAACGCTTGAATAGATTAATTTCTTATTAAAAATATATGCTCATGAAAAAAATAATACTTGAACGTATTATATTCAAAATTTTCAAAAATAGTTTTGAATGGTACCACGCTGCATGTGAGCAATTCACAGTTCTGTGTTTACATCATCAGCAGCGCCTGTGGGGCATTTGTATAGACTCGTGGAAATGCAATGAGCGGCATTTTCCGATTTGTGTTTTGTTTTGTGTTTATTCATTTGAATTGCGCTTGGTGCTGCACTTGCCCGGCATTGTTATAATTACAATTCTAATTTGCAATTCATATCAAAAGAGTCGTTGCTATTTTTACACCATTTATCGATTCCCATATGCGATTTCTCGAATCGTTTGCCCGAACACAACAATAACAATTGCAATTTTGCTATTCTTCACTCATATGCGCAATTCAATATATCAGAAAATAATCCTATGGTTCTTAAAATTCGAGGTTTTCTCAGGTAACAATAATTAATCATTTTTGTTTATATGTGCTTTATTGGCCCATCAAACTTATTAAGAACATGGTCTTTAAACCGTAATGCATTATTTAAATGGAACATTTATAGGTGGGAATGGTTTTCTTCAATTTGGACAGAGACTAAAGAATCTTTATTGAAAACGCAGTCTTATGAAAAGGAGAAGTTGAATTAAAAATGAAAGAAAAAGAAATACAATAAATAGTGTAATAAAGTATCTCAAGACTTCTTATACCCTGCAACAATTAAAAATAAGTAATTAATTTGTACAAATGTATGCATCAAAAGTCATCTCTGATGCCATAAAGAATATATTCTTTTAATCGGAATTGGCATCAAATTCGTTGATTTAAATTGTCCATTAAAATCAATATGTTTTCATTAAAAGTTAAGGTTTGATTAATCTCTCAAACTAAAATCACTGCCACAAAGTTATCGATTAAATGCACAACTAAATCTTCTTAGAAAGGTATTCCAAGTGTCCATTAAAGCTTGATTTGTACTCTATTACATCTAAACAATGTTCGATGCCATTATTGTCATTAAGTTATCTATTAAACTTGTCTCACACAGGACTTGTGTCTCAATCCACGCCATTTCGCTCGAAGGTTCAATTTGCCACTTGTTATCAACTGTCTGATGCATTCTCAAACCGATTCCACTTTCACAATCTTCGTGTAGATACATGTGTCTATCCATATATGTATGTCTGTATGCCACAAAGCGCAATTTCAATTCCAATTCCAATTCCGTGTGCGCGTGCAAAAAAAAAAAAAAAATAATAATAATAAAAAAAATATTCCACGCTTGGGCAAACGAAAAGCGGCTTTAACTAAACTAAATTAAATTACCCCGGCCAGCGCCATTCAAGCAAGCAACGTGGACGTCTGTCTGTCTCTCCGTCCGTTCGTCTGCATCCGTTTGTGGGGATAGTGTGTATGAGACTGGCACCCAGTGGGTGTGTTTGAGTGCTTGCTTGTGTGTATCTGTCTGCGTGTCTGGCTACCCGCCGCTCAGCGCCGCCAAAAATGTGTAAACAATCAACATTGACCACCCATGGGGAGCCAGAGCCAGGATCCAGGACCCAGGAGCTTTCCCCGGACCCAAGCCGAGTAACCAACCAACGGCTTGGGGTCCATACCGAATGGGAGAATGGGGTGTGTTCGATGTCACAAAATATGAAGTGAAGTCCTGGCGCGTCCTGTTGAGTCCTGTTAAGTGGCGACACAACGCGCCCTCCCCACTTTTTTAAAAAACACTCAATTATGTGAGCAAACAATAAAATAGATAATCAACCGTCTATTATCCAAAGTTTACTCCAATAATATGACTAACCAATAGCAGTCGTGTATACTCGCAAAATAGATTAATTTATCGCCATTGTTAAAGCACTCAGACAGCAAATTAAATTTCATTTCATTTTTATATTGTTGACTTTTTTTTAAGTTACGAATATTTGTTTTCATCCAAATCTTCGCAAATTGTAGTAATTACATCAATATTATCTTTATAATTGTTAAGAAACATAAATACAAAAAAGTTCACATTTGTATACTAAGTTGTCGAAAAGTTTAAAACTTGTGAGAAACTATCGAAAGTACTGAAACCGTAAGGAACACAATGTAAAAGGATAATAAATAAATAAAATATAATAAATTTGTGTATATATATATATAGTTTTAAATGTAAAGTTTTTCATAAATTTACACATTTTTAAATCTTCTAAGTATTCACTTAAGGAAAATATTTGAAAATTGCTAAATAATTCAAAAGTGAAATAAAACTTTACTTTAAGTGATAAAAACTCAAATATATATATACATATGTCCGTCCACTTTGCATATGCCCTATAAATACTTGCATTTAGTAAGTTTTATCTGTCGACATTTAAATATTTTAGAAATTTGTACTTTGCACATTATGATTGAAAATAATTAAAATCAGTCGCACAGAAAAATCGCAAGAAGTTATTAATAGCTTATATTTATTTGGAAGACGATATACAAAAGTAAATATAGATAAATATAGACCAACTGAACACATTTTCAACGCTGCCAACTACTCAATTAGCACAGCCGATAATGGATGTTGATTTCAACTCTGAATTTTTGGCTAGGTTCAAAAAATCGATATTGACTCGTTTCTTGGGCCTCTTTATGCAATTCTCGCATAGGTCTAAAACCAATGTTAATTAATTATTATGACGCTGTTTCTGACAATGTGACGGTAAATGTCAAAAATATATAGGAAATACCCTGACACAGATATATTTAATTGTATGTTAATTGGAGCAGAGTTAAGGAAAGAGTTACAGAGGCAGACATAAAAAGATACAATCAAAACAGTAATAAAGCTGGCTATGCTTTTTGGTATTACATTTTTAATATGTCTTCTAGAATCAGTTATATGTTAGCGGAGATAGTCTGCGTGGAATCGAAGTCTTTCTTTCGAGAAAAGTAAGTTTGAGTAGCATTGGAGGTATTTACATCATATTCCCATAATTGTGGGACTGTGAAGACACTTCCAAAATAGCAATGTCTTAAGTATATATGGGCAGAGTCAAGGAATTACAGCATTTATATTCATTACATTTTAACTCTCATCAGATTACATAATTGATAAGGAGTTTTGTAGAAACAAGAACTAGAACTGTAAGGTGAGATCATTCGAGATGTTTAGTTTAAATAAATACATTGATTTTCACTATTTAAAACACTTGGCAGGACTGGTATAAATACGTAAGTCAAGCGGATTCTCCTATTATAAACTTAATTGTCAATTAGATGTCCACTTTAGATGTTCACACTTGTGACTTATGCAAATTATTATTTAAGTAAATGTTGGCTTTTACCTGCGTCACTGATGATATCTGTGGCTGCGTTTGGTCTTTAGCACTTTTGACATTTCATTAATATATAGCACATGGTATATTTGTCAACCAACTTAACAATACACATTAATCCGTAGAGGAAATATAAGTACTTAAATAAATATAAATTAATTTAAGTTGATATATTTATTTAACACATAAGCAATAAGTTGCAGCATTGACGTCAAGTAGTTAATTCTTAGACTGGGGCAATTATCATTCAAATGCGTCATTTAAAATGATTAACATGTACAATTTACTGTTAATCTGTACTTATATTTCCAACACAAACAAATTATTTATTTCTCGATAATCATGTTATTTTTTTTTAAAAGTTTCCATATCATTTATCAATATCAATAATGCAAGTTTTGTTACTGATAATAGGAATACAGCCTAGTCTTTTCAATATGAAATAAAAAGGGGAAAACCCATATAAATTAGAATAATCATAATATTTATTTAAATGAAAACCAAATTAAAAGTGCAAAGAATATGTAAGCTGAAATACTTGTTTCATTTTAATATAAACAGCATAAATATTGTATACATAAAATAATAATAAATAATAAGCTATTTTGCTCATTTATTTTTTATGTGTGAACGCATTAGTCGACATTAAATAAATAAATTCTTTAAAATTAAACATTTTGAGTAAATTCAACTAAAGAATGTAAAATTCAATTTTTTGTAATATACAGATAAAAAAAAAAGCAACTGATTAAAATGGTAATAAACACTAAGCGCAAAGTAGGAATTGGAATGAATTTCCGCTTCATTTTGTTTAGGCACATTAACATTTATTTAAATTATAATTATTTATATTATTTAAACAAAAATATTTCTTAAGATTTTTGAAAATCTCTAAATAATTAATAAACATTGTTTAACGAGTTATTGTCCTATCTTCTGTTTTATTTAACTCATCCATAGAGCATAACCATACCAGATGCGGCAGAGCCAGAGCCAACTGGCGGTCATATTAAGCTCGGATGGATAGTCGGCGTGCTCATACCATGTCTACTCAACATTTGGGGCGTCATGCTCTTCCTGCGCCTCAGTTGGGTCGTCGCCGAGGCCGGCATTATACTTTCATTAGCTATAATCGCCGTTGCTACCGTGGTCTGTGTTATAACCACACTATCCCTGTCCGCGATTAGCACGAACGGTGAGGTGAAGGGCGGTGGCGTCTACTTCATCATTTCCCGCTCACTTGGCCCCGAATTTGGTGCATCCGTTGGAGTGGTTTTTGCATTTGCCAACGCAGTTTCAGCATCAATGAACACAATTGGTTTCTGCGAATCGCTGAATGTGCTGCTGAGTGAGTATTGATTGAATCTTGATTTGACTCCTAAAATGAATTCATTACAATTCATGCTTGTGATTCTTGCAGAGAACAACGGTCTTATTATCGTTGACAACGGCATCAATGATATACGCATTGTGGGCTCCGTAACGCTCCTGGTCCTGATACTGATCTGTTGCGTCGGCATGGAATGGGAGACCAAGGCGCAGAATTTTCTCATTGTCACCATTGTCCTGGCCATAGTCAATTTTATAATTGGTGCTGCGATTGGACCGCGAGGAAATGTGAACCTAATATCCAAGGGATTTGTGGGCTTCTCCTGTAAGTAGATAAATAACTTAAATCATTTAGTACGCTTTCCAAAAATCGAGAAAAATCATTAAACTGAAATTGAAAATATCTGCATGTTTTTCCTTTTATTTTTGGAATTTGTTTCGTAATTTTTGATCAAATATCTAACTCGTTGCTAACTTTTTTCATTTATTCGACAGGGTCCACATTTAAGGAGAACTTTGGCTCGGACTTTCGTTATGCGGAGGGCGTCAATCACGACATCTTCAGTGTGTTTGCCATCTTCTTTCCGAGTGTGACGGGCATTCAGGCGGGCGCCAATATCTGTGGCGATCTGAAGGATGCCGGCGCAGCGATACCGAAGGGTACATTTTGGGCACTGCTCCTTTCGATGACATCCTATGCATTCTTTGTGCTGTTCGCTGGCGGCGCTGCTGCTCGCGATGCATCCGGCTTGCCGCAGGATCTGATTAATGGCACCCTTGTGACGTCAGAGCTGCCCTGCATGAAGGACCACAGCTGCCCCTGGGGTCTGTTCAACTCCTACGAGATGATGCAGCTGATGTCACTCTGGGGACCGCTCATCTATGCTGGCTGCTTTGCAGCAACGCTCAGCACGGCGCTTACGAATCTGTTGTCTGTGCCGCGCCTAGTTCAAGCTCTCGGCATTGATCAGATCTATCCGGGTCTGATATTCTTCTCGAAGCCGTATGGCAAGCATGGCGAACCCTATCGCGGCTATGTGCTCACATTCTTTATATCGGCGAGCTTCCTGCTGATTGGCCAACTGAATCTGATTGCACCGCTCATCTCCACATTCTATCTGGCCTCCTATGCTCTGATCAACTTTTGCACATTCCATGCGGCGTTCGTCAGACCCCTCGGATGGAGGCCCACCTTCAAGTACTACAATGCCTGGATCAGTCTGTTCGGCTTTGCCATGTGCGTGGGAATCATGTTCCTTATCAATTATGTGGCAGCGATTATCACCTTTGGCATCATCTTTGCCCTCTATCTAGTGGTCATGTACCGAAAACCGGATGCCAATTGGGGATCCACGACACAGGCGCAACAATACAAGGCCGCCCTTATGGCTGTCCATCGGTTGCAAAACGTCTCGGATCACGTCAAGAACTATCATCCCCAGGTGCTGGTTCTCGCCGGAGATCCAAAGACTCGCCCGCCTCTCATCGACTTTGGCTATATGCTCACCAAGAACAACTCGCTTATGTTTGTTGGCAATATTATTCCGGTGAGTTTATACAGTCTTCTCGTAATATAATTTGATAGCTCAGTTAAGCTTTAATATTATCGAACATATTCAAATCTTAAATGTTTGCAAACAAAATCAACAAATAAAATAAAGTTTTTGTTAATTTTATGCAACACGCACATTTTTTACAGTCCAGCTCAATTTACACTTTTAACAAAGGAATTAATACATATTTTGTATTTTGGACATAATATTTACATTTTGTTTTGAAATTCACAAGTTATTATCTTCACACCTATTTTACTGTCCAGGCGGTGTATATGTATAACTTTATAGTCTTTGCGTCTATTTAAGAGAAAACAGAATTTAAGGATTGACAATCTGAAATTCGTACAGTTGTAATTAATATTAAAAATATAAAAACAAATGCATATTTCCAATTATAATAAAAATGTAACCCACTAGACAATTACTAGAAAATATATGAATATATATGTATATATGAATATATATAGATATAATAGTAATAATATAATTATATATTTAATAATCAGGTACGCGTTGGCTACAAGAATCGCCAGACTCTGATGAAGGATGGCCAGAAATATTTGGATGCTCGCAAAATCAAAGCATTCTACAACGTGATCGATGGCTTTAGCATAGAGGATGGCATAAATGCACTGATCAAGTCCACGGGATTTGGAAAAATGTCACCCAACATTGTGCTAGTGGGCTATAAGGCCGACTGGAATCGCTGCCAGAAGGAGGAGGTGGAGAGCTACTTTGCCATATTGCAGTGAGTAAAAACAATGAAAATACTAAACGATTAATAAATGGTTGCTTATTTGTACCCCATTTCCATTCAAATAGTAACGCCTTCTCGCAGCGCATGGGAGTGGCATTGTTACGCCTGCCCAATGGGCTGGACTTCTCCGAACTGACGCCCGAAGTGACAATGCCAGCCAACAATTTGGGCCACATGCACACGGCGAATGCACAAGGATTTACCAACGAACTGATTCCAGCAGCGACAGCTGCCTCCGATCTGCTGCACATCGATTCGAATCTGAATCTGGCAGGTATGGACAATCCCAGTCCCAATTCCACCTACACCATGCCACAGCCGGCGCCCATGCCGAACATGCAGCACAACTCGCACAGCTACAAGGTGAACAATAGTGATGGTGACGTCACTTACCTAACCAAAGGTGGCTCCGAGGTGCCAAAGACTGTTCTGGATGCCATGACGGTATTTACACGCAAGCAGCCCAAGGGCACCATCGATGTTTTCTGGCTGTACGATGATGGTGGTAAGTCATAAAAACACCTACACTCAGAGATAAAAAGGCTTGTCTAAATTTAAGTAAAACCCTCATAGAATATCTACAGTTTCATTTTTGCAACTTGAAAAAACTGTTGAGTTTTATTTATTACATTTGGTTTTAATACAAAAGGATTATTGAATCCAGTATTAACTTAATTGAAACTTGGAATATTTTCGCATTTTTGAGGCTGGATCGGATAACTATTTTATAAAGCTGCGTAGGAGGGATCGGCTGAATGATTAGCTCTTTTACCATAATGAATCTGATAATGAAATTTAAGTGAGTTGCCTAGCTAAGATATGAAATCTTTTAATATAGGTGCTAAAAGCTTAATTTGAGAACTTAAATTTGGGATTCCAGTTGATTTTTATTATTATTATATTAGTTTAGTTATATTTCTAGGTGCTATCAAAATTGATTTAATACTTCAATTTAAATTAAGAATTAAATGTTTTACAAGTAAATAATATCAAGTTTATCAACGAGGAAATCATGTTTCCCAATATTTTATTTTTTTACGCCCGAGCGAGTACTATATTTTTTGAGTGTACATGTACATGCACATATAAATATTTATAAATATAAATATATATCTTTATTGCATTGTTGATGAATTTAAATGCTAATTGGCAGGCCTTACTATTCTGTTGCCCTATATCATCTCAATGCGCTCGCATTGGCAGAATTCGAAGCTGCGCATCTTTACCATGTGTCATGGCAAGGACGAGGAGCAGGAGGAGAAGAGGTAAGTCAATATAATTAATTACAAGTTGTCCTTCAACACATGAAAAAATAAAATAAAAAATAGTAGTAACTACAGATAGCATTTATACTTTTTAAAAATGCATTTCTTGATAAAAGACAATATTTGTAAACAAAATAGAAGAAAAAATTACACATTTCTAATTATAAGAAAAACATTTTCCAATATTTAGAAATTATTTGAAAACAAAAAAAAACAAAAAAAAACCTTGTAATTTTTAGGCAGTTTTTTCTCAGTGTATGATAATGGTAATATATTTAGTAACAAGTAATATTGTTCACACAGCATGGCTAGTCTGCTGACCAAATTCCGTATCAAATACTCAGAGCTGATTATGCTCAAGGGCGTCTCCGAGCAGCCGCGTCCAGACACAATGCTGAGGCACAAACACCTCATCGAGCCCTTCCGTCGCAGTGCACACAACGAGTTCGGCATCACCGACGAAGAACTGTTCGGAATGGCTGAGAAGACAGCGCGCCAGTTGCGCATCCATGAGCTGGTCGTCATGCATTCATTGGACGCATCTCTGGTGGTTATGTCGCTGCCAATGCCGCGCAAGGTGAGTACTCTAGCTCGAGCCGCCGATTAGCTAATGACTAATGACGATTCCATTATCTCGATTTCAGGAGGCAATTTCAGCACCACTTTATATGTCATGGCTGGAAATGCTGACGTCAGACATCAAGTGTCCAGTGGCACTGGCGCGTGGCAATCAGACACCGGTGCTAACACTTTACTCTTAAGGCCAAGCCAACATTTTCCAGTTCGAGTACAATTTAGTATTATTAGCGTTTAGGCGTTCAAGTTCCGTGTATAAAAACACATTTTTTTACAAAAATAGAAGCAAACAACAGAAAAAAATCAAATTCCCCAAACAACTTGATAGTCCCTAGAACGTACGTTTATAGCCATAGCTTATAAGTTGATTACGAACTATACTGGTTATGAATACTATTCTAAATTAATTCAATAATAATAAAAACAATTATGCGATTTGTGGTATTTCTAAGCCAGTTAACGAACTTCAGCGAATCTTCATTGTGGTCAGCAGTCAACATGCATAATATGTAAATACAAACTTTATAATTGATGAGTGATGGATATAAATGGGGTTTTAGCAAGTGAGTCTTAAACATTATAAAGCATCAGTTAATCAATTGTTATATAGTGGCTATACTATGTGTGGCACCTAGTAATAGGCGCGTCGTGGATTGTTCTGCGAAAGAAAGTCAATTTGAAACACACACTTCACAGGTAGTCTTGGAGAACTCACCAGCGGATTGGGACGAAAGCGATAGGCCAACATCATGCGCTTCCTGTACGCATCATACTCATTGTCGCAATCCTCGGGCTGAGCGGCACTGTTGACACCCAAACCTTGATTACCGTCACGCTGCGGTGCTCTGCAAGTTCACAATATAAAGTCAATTAGAAGTGAGAATAGATGGATATTTAAAAAAGACACCTACTTGTTAACGGGGTCTACAATGCCGGCACCGTCTTGGCCCAAGCCTTGTCCCTCCTTCCAGCCCAACTTTTGCAGCATTTGGAAGCCAATGTTATCTTCTTTCAGTTTGTACTCCTTATAATCGCTTAAATCGGGCTGACGATTATTCTTCTTTGCCTCGTACTGTTCCATGAACTTCTTGAGCTCCTCGGGCGGCAGAAAATCACCAATGTGATGCTTGCCCTCGCTTTGTTTGGTCAGCGCATTGGCCCACAAGTGTGTCGCCTCCATTTCGGCGTTGCGCAACTTGTGCTCCCAGGTGCCGCCCTCAACGTCCTCGTCGGAGTCGTATTCGTATTTGAATTTGCCACCACGCGCCAAGCGATCGATTTCCTGTCGCTTACGCATCATGTCCTGGTAAAGCAAGTTAACCTTGTAGTGCTCCTCGCACTGCTTCCACTGATCTTCCGACAATGTGGTCGAACCATAATTAAGACGCGCATACTGCAATAGAGCCGGATCGTTGCGTGTGACGGCACTAAGCATGGGTTTGTTCTGGTTGCCAAAACTGGTGGGTGTGGTGCCTGAGATTAAAAATAGAATTCATTTATCATTTCCTATTCCATTCTTATCTGATTTATTTGGCTCACCTGAGCTGCTGGGCAGCTGCTCCTTTTCGCCCCAGCGGCTCTTACGCTCACGCTTGCGCCGCTGTCGCTGTGTCTCCCTATCTTCCTCCTCGTCCAGCTCGTTTGCTTCGCCAGATGCTGCCATGGTGGCCGCCTCCTCTTCGCGTTCGCGTCGCTCCTCGTCGCTCAGCTCATTGCGGCACTCGATGCGTCGTTTGATATTGTCGCGATTGCGATCCATCATGCCACGCATGTACTCATCATCTGAATCAAAATCGGCGCTAATTGCCGATTCCGGATCGTATTTATCAGCTGCTGAGTTACTATTTTGGTCATCCTGCTGCTGCTGCTGCTGTTGTTGCTGCTGTTGCTGTTGTTGTAGCTGCTGCTGCTCCTTGTTTAGCTGCTGCTCCCGCTCCCGTTCTCGTTGTCGCTGCCGCTCGGCACGCTGCCGTTCGTAATCGAGCAGTTGTGAGCGATAGTTTCGATATTGCTCGCAGTTCTTATCATAAAGAAACCTATTGTTAAAATTTTAAAAAAGAATTGAAACGTACAATGAAAAGTGCCCAAATGCATGCAATATACAAAGACATTATATGAATAACTGGTTGGTTGGTTTTTTGTGGCGCCCTTTTAGTAGTAGTGTGTGCTTTAGATAGAATCCTTCAGCTTACTCCTCCAGTGGCAGGACGACGGCAACATACGGCCAGTGTGAGTGTTAGGTGTGTGTGTGTGTGTGTGTCATTCGCGCGCACTCCCTCTTCAAATCTCAAATATTAATCCTAAGAAACTAACCGAACTAATTTTAAATCGACGTAAATCACAATCGGACTTTAACTATATTAAAAAAAATGTAATATCCATTGAAACAATGTAGACATTTGTTTTGAATTAAGCTCAGCTGCCGGAAAACATGTCTTAAGTCTTTTTTGTATTATTTCCCAACCCAAATAATTTGTGCTCAATGTGTTCAGTTCTGTGACTTTAACTAGCGATTAGAGATTGAATTGTTCTATTTGCGTTCACCTCAAATTCACAAGACTATTTTTGTGTTTTTATAGATTGTTTAAAATTATATTGTATTATATATTATCAAATGAAAAGCTTCTAAAGGTTTATCGACAACGGATAACTTGGCAAAAGCTTATTAAAACTAATAAATAATATAAGTAAATACAGACAAGAATCCTATTAGAGACTGTCATATGCTTGCAAGAGTATTGCATCATCGGCATTTATAATATATATATATATATTTATACTTCCTTTCATTATTTCCCTTTGTTCATGCTTGCCCCCAATAAAATTAAAGTACAAATATTTTTGTGAATTGGCTAAAGCAAAAGTGAGCAAAATTAAGCGACTAATTTCTCGGTTGACCCCGTTCTCGTTAATTAATTAATTAATTCAGTTAAAGTGCCCGGCGCGTGAAAATGTGCAGCTGATTTACCACAAGGCCGGATGCAATTCGCTTCTATGCAAACGTATTTTATCTTCGTAATCTTCACCATTTTCAGCGACCAGTGCGATTAGGTTTTCTATGCACGTTGGCAATTGTATGCATGTTTCTGAAAAAACTACATAAATTGCTTTAAAATCGTGCACAACGATTTGTAAAATATATATAAAATGGAAAATAAGATTGAGGAATGGGATGCTGGTGGATGGATATTTTGAATAGGGATTGCTGGGATTGTGGCAGAACAGAACAGAACAGACAAAAGAATATTGTCGAGGATAATGTACACACCTTGTGTTGGGGGCGTCAATGACTGAATTTGCACTTTCTGCAACTGTTGCACTTGCATCTGTTGCACTTGAAGCTGTTGCAATTGTTGTTGCTGTTGCGGCTGCTGCAGTTGTTCCGACGGCGGCGGCTGCTGCTGCTGCTGCTGCGTTGATTGCTCCTCTGGCTGCATGGGCGGTGGGGGCGGCGGTGGCGGATTCACTGTAACATGTTCCGGCAACAGAGCTAACTGCTCAACCTGGCTAACAGTGGGCATTTGTATGGCCTCCAGATTGATCTGCGGCTTTGGTATTGCATTCAAGTCAAAGTCTTTGGGTGCCGGTATCGCATTCAGCTGATGCATTGCGGCTTCGGACGGCAGCTGTGTTGGTCCCAATTGCATATAGATTGGCGTTAAATTGGCCAATGTGATTGGCATCTGTGGCGGTGGTGGTGGTGGCGGTGGTGCCACTGCAGCCGGATGCAGCTGCATCGGCAAATGATGAGGATGATGATGATGATGTCCATGAAAGAAAGCCATTTGCGACATTTGTGGCGGTCCCTGCGCCAGCAGCGTTGGATTGAATGCAAACGGCGGCGGTGGCGGTGGTTGCACTACCTGCGGCATCCCCGGGCCAGTGCCGGGCATACTAAATGCGAGATGATTGTGTCCAGCACTGGACACCGTTATGCTGCCAGCCATAGATGTGGCTATCACTGCCGCCGCACTCGTCGCAATCGTACTGAGTGCCAGATCCATTGACTCCTGCGGACTGCTGTTCTCCACACTCTGTGCTGTGTCGCCAGGGTTGTTCTCATCGCTGGAATAATGTTAAGGATTAAGGAAGGTTTTTTTACTGGCCTGCATTAGAGACATATATACTTACATAGGCACTGGGACGGGCGGTACAATTATAGGCGGCGGTTTGGGTTGTTCGTGCTTTTCAAGAATTTTCTTGAAATTCTCGAGAAAGGAACCATCGTTACAAAAGGTGTTCTTCACCTTGGGTGGCGGTTGCTCAACGCTCGGTTGTGGCAAATGTTGCCTCTTTAGGCTAAATGTTATTTTGCCCGTCTTGCCAGTGAAACTGTTTAGTGTCTTGGGTGTGCTATCATCGTACTTGCCCCTTGCACCCGATGCAGCCGTCTGTTCGCCATTATCCACTTCCAAGTCATTTATCTCGTCCGGCACAGCTACAGTTGTGGGCGATGGCGCTAGCTGCTGCGGCTGATGCTGCTGTTCTTCCTCCTCATGCTCCTCGTGTTCCTCCTGTTCATCGAGTGGCATCGGAATCGCCGCCGCCGGCGTTGTTGTCGGTGTCGTCGGCGTCTCAATGGTTTTCAATTGGGCTGCCAAAGTTTGGGCAGCGGCAACGGCTTTGGCCAGCTGCGCCGTACGCTGTTTCTCGAGTATTTCCTGGCGTTTTTTCGCAATTATCTCCTCCTGCTTGCTCATCTGTGCAAAGCGGTCCACCCGATAATTACGTTGCGCCATTTCTTTCAGTGTTTTAATTGTCTTTTATGAAGGGCGCTTATATAAATCCTTTGACTTCGTAGTTTTATTCGCTTCAAGTAAAAACTATGCATATATAAAAGTAAGAATGGCCACCCTATTTTTTTAGGAGTGTGACCGAAGCTGAAAAAATACCATATTGATAATGTCATACTAAAATACCAGAGGATATATTCAATTACTTTCTTAATTTATATAATTTTATTAAATTCTTCGGTAAACACTCATATATCAAGGTAGTAGTATATGTTATTTTCAAATATTACGGGGAACGACTTTAAACATATCAAATTTTTAGGAATAACATATTTTAGTAAAATGACAAACTTCTTAAAGATACATTTTTAAGATTACATATATAATTCGAAATATTTGGAAAACACTCAGTATATTGGCAGTGTGTTAATAATCTAGCTAACGGGATATAAGCTTCAACACAATAATCACTTTAAGTACAAACATTTATAAATATATATTAATATATGTAATAATTGATAAGTATATCTAAATGCCCCTAAAAATACAAACTGTTATTAGTAGTTCGATAAGTTATGTATGTTTGCATAAAAATAGTGAGGAATAAATAAGTTTGCAGTTTATAATAATTCCTTTTTAATTGTATTTAGGTACTATTAATCCCTTCAGCATATCAAAACTGTTGCCATCGGGTTGAACGGTCTCAATCGTTCCATTCGCTAATTTTACTTTCAAGAAACCTGCATCATCGATGCCAATAATCTTGGCATCCTTTTCTTGATTTTCCAGGAAAATCTTAACGCTTTGCTCGCTAAGGAATAAAAATAAGGAATGAATTTTAAAAATCTGCATACATTCTGAAAGTATTTCACATACCTATGCAGCCAAAGGTCGTAGTACAAGGCGTAGAAATGTTTGAAATCTCCGTTCTGGACTTCAGCCAAAATTCCTTCGATTTCATTAAAAATTAATGCAATAAATTGCTCATATTTCAGTAATGGTAATTTAGCAATGGGCATCCGCGCATTATACTCTTTTATCATATCGTTAATGCAAATTGTTGGTTTTGAGTTGTTTAAATTAATTCCGCTGCCAATATTCACCAATGCCTGCGAGCCTAATAAGGTGGTATTGACGACTAGTCCACCAATTTTTATGTTACCGTTGGCAATAATATCATTTGGCCATTTTAGAGCAATATCGAGTACCTGAAAAAATAGTGAGATATATAAAGAATATTTGTATGCTATTATTATTAAGTAAAATGAATGAATCAATAATAAATATATATACATATAAATATATTTTATTGAGTATATTTATTAATCAAAAGCTCAAGATGAATATTTTTTTAATGAAGCAACCAATAACGCTTCATCATATTACTAATTTTCTATATAATTATTTTAAAATTTTTTAAATATTATTAAAAAAGTCTTAAATGTCAAAAAGCCATTCATAATTATATCTGTTTTTACGATATATCGCGAGAAGTATATTTACAAGCGATGAACCAAGGAAATCGTACATCGATATCATCGACGATAGTTGTTCAGCTCTACTACTTGGGTGTAGAGAAATTTCGTGCGTGCAGGCGACAACACGGCACCCGTTTTGTCTGCCCCTCAACAAGAAAAAAACCTATAAAAAAATTATCGCATTTTTAGCATAGCGAAAGCTATCTTAACATCCTCGCTGCATATGCCGAAACGTGCATGCTTGTCGCCGAGGCAGACAGGCAGATTAAAGTGTACAGAATGCGTGTCAATGTGTTGAAAACAAGAAACGCTTTCTAAGTGCGTCTGAAAAAATCAATCAGTTTGTGCTGCTGTCGCAGCCGCTGCCGCTGCAAGGGGCGGGCGGGCCACAACAACAACAAAAATGAGCAGCAGTGCCGCCGCTGCCGCCCAGCTGACTGCGTCGCCAGTTAGCAAGAGCAGCAGCAACAACAATACAACAACAGCAGCAGCAAGTGAAAGTAATCTAATCATCATACAGGATATGATTGATCTCTCTGCCAACCATCTGGACGACCTGCGCACACAGTGCGCTACGAGCGCAACGCTGACGCAACAACAGATTCGAGGCCTGGAGTCCAAACTGGTGCGCTACTTCTCCGAGCTGCTGTTGACCAAGTCGCGGCTGAACGAGCGCATTCCGGCCAACGGTCTACTGCCTCATCATCAGGCAACTGGGAACGAGTTGCGTCAATGGTTGCGTGTTGTCGGGCTCAGCCAGGAGTCGCTGAATGTGTGTTTGGGGCGGCTGAAGACGCTGGAGCAAACGTTGCAGTTGAGCGACGATGAACTAAAGCAATTGCTTGCCCACAATACGAGCAGCAGCCAGCTGGACGAAGAGCTGCGCCGTCTGACCAAAGCGATGCACAATCTCCGCAAATGCATGGAAAAGCTGGAGAGCAACAATAGCGCCGTTGCATCCAATGCTGATCCGGACCAATGGCACTGGGACTCGTGGGATCGACCGCATCCGCAGCCGCATCACACACATCGCGGCAGCATTGGCAACATTGGCCTGGGCCTCAGTCTGAACAATGCCTCGCCACGCGCCCATCATCGTCATCATCACCAGCATCAGCATCCACATGGGAACGGTAAGCCCAAAGCTGGCAGCAGCTCCGCGTCAAGCTCACGCAGCGAACAGCACCCGCAATCGCAACAACAACAACTGACCAGCTCACAGATGACTCTGACACTGACACCCTCGCCACCAAATTCACCCTTTACGCCAGCCTCTGGGACGGGCGGCTCCTTGAGTGGAACGCCACAGCGCAGTCGGAGCACAACAACAGCGGCGGGCACACCACCGCCCGCTAAGAAGCATCAGACGCTGCTGATGCACAACAGCAGCAGCGCCTCGGACACAGCTGTGGCGGATCAACCACCGAGGCCACCACGTAGCCGGCTGCCCACAGATCCTAGTCCGGATAGCCATAGCTCCGCGAGTAGCTCGGACATATTTGTGGACGCTTGCGGCAGCAGCAGCAATGTGCTGCTAGTGCCGCCATCGCCGGTTGTGGCGCATGTGGGCATGGGTCACACCATTAAGCATCGCTTCAACAATTGGTATGGCTTCATGACCACGTGCAAACTGTGCCAAAAGCAGATGTTGAGACATGGACTCAAGTGCACCGACTGCAAATACACCTGCCACAAGTCGTGTGCACAGCATGTGCCCCCATCCTGTGGTCTGCCACCCGAATATGTGTACGAATTCCGGCAGACACAGGTGGGCGGTCGATGGGATCCGTCGGCGCAGCACAGCAGCAGCAGCAGCAAAGCATCGCCGGTGCCCCGAAAGAGTACGCTGGGCAGCAAACCGCAATTGCAGCAGCCACATCAGCTGCATCATGGCGACAGCAGTTCACCCAGCTCCAGCTGCACCAGCTCAACGCCCAGCAGTCCAGCATTGTTCCAACACCAGCAGCAGCAACAACAGCAGTTGGCTACACCCAACGCCTGTCAGCCAAAGCCCCCACAGCAACAGAATCCGCAGAGTCAGTTCAACTTTCCAAATGTAACCATTACTTGCAACAGCAATGCAAGTGCGGCTCAAACGCTAATCATATCGAATGAGACAACGTTGAGCAGCAGTAGCAGCACAGCAACAACGGAAACGCTGACCAATGGCAACAACAACAGCGGCATTAACAATAGCAATAACTGCAGCAACAACAGCTGCTACAACAGCAGCGGCAGCAACAACAGCGGCAACTACCATAACAACAACAGCAGCGGCAACAGCAGCAGCAGCATCATCATGAGCAGCAGCTGTGGCAGCAACAACAGCTCGAATGGCCATTCCGCGCTAATTGGCAGCCAAATGTCGACGCATTCGATCAGCTCCTCCTCGCAGACATCCTCGTCGCAGGTGAGCAGCAGCAGCAGCGCCACTTATACGGCGAGTCTGGTCAACAGTGGCAGTTTCTTTCCGCGCAAGTTGAGCAATGCCGGAGTGGACAAACGGACACCGTTCACCAGTGAATATACGGACACACACAAGTCGAATGATAGCGATAAGACCGTTTCGTTATCGGGTAGTGCCAGCACGGACTCGGATCGTACGCCCGTCCGTTTGGATTCGACGGAGGATGGGGATTCGGGTCAGTGGCGACAGAACTCCATATCGCTCAAGGAATGGGATATACCCTATGGCGATTTGCATTTGATGGAGCGTATCGGTCAGGGTCGCTTTGGCACCGTGCATCGCGCCCTGTGGCATGGCGATGTGGCTGTTAAGCTGCTCAACGAGGACTATCTGCAGGATGAGCATATGCTGGAGTCGTTTCGCAATGAGGTGGCCAATTTCAAGAAGACACGTCACGAGAATCTGGTCCTCTTCATGGGCGCCTGCATGAATCCGCCGTATTTGGCGATTGTTACTTCGCTGTGCAAAGGCAACACTCTGTATACATATATACATCAGCGAAGGGAGAAGTTTGCGATGAATCGGACGCTGCTGATTGCCCAGCAGATTGCGCAGGGCATGGGGTATTTGCATGCGCGGGATATCATACACAAGGACCTGCGCACCAAGAACATCTTCATCGAGAACGGCAAGGTGATCATAACGGACTTTGGCCTCTTCAGCTCCACAAAGCTACTGTACTGTGATATGGGCCTGGGCGTACCACAAAATTGGCTCTGCTATTTGGCACCAGAACTGATACGTGCCCTGCAGCCACGAAAGCCGCCCGGTGAGTGTCTGGAGTTTACACCTTACTCGGATGTGTACTCCTTTGGCACCGTTTGGTACGAGCTCATTTGCGGCGAATTCACGTTCAAGGATCAGCCAGCGGAGTCGATCATTTGGCAGGTGGGACGCGGCATGAAACAATCGCTGGCCAATCTACAATCTGGTCGCGATGTCAAGGATCTGCTAATGCTCTGCTGGACCTACAAAAAGGAGGATCGGCCAGATTTTGCACGCTTGCTCTCCCTGTTGGAGCATTTGCCAAAGAAACGTTTGGCTCGCAGTCCCTCGCATCCTGTTAATCTCTCGCGTTCCGCAGAGTCTGTGTTCTAACCAACCATTATACAGAACAGCAACAAGAATAAGAAGAATAACAACAGACTACTCTTTGTATTGTTTGTAAGCAGAGCAGCAAGCACCACACACACACACACAAACACACACACAGTTTCTAATTAGCACAATTCCATGTTATATATGTCAAATGTAAGCTATACTCTCTCTGTAACTGTAATTGTTGTGTAATATTGCGTGCAAAAATGTCAAATTGTCATTATATGTATTGTGTATGTGGAGAGAGAGAGAGAGAGAGCAAAGCTCGCTTCCTCAGCAGGCTCTCGAAAGGACTCTCAAATAGAAAACTAACGGAAACTGTAAATATATAGTACATTTAAAGCAAGAGAAACGAGAAACTATATACATATATATATACAGTATATATATCCAAATTATAGCATTTTACATTTGCATTGTAAAATATTTTGACTTTAACACATACACACAAAAATGTTTAATTAAAAGACAACGTTTAAATGTTGAAGAGCAACAAGCAAATCTGAATGAATGAATGCATTAAAGCAAACAAAAAAACTAAAATATAGACATAGACATTACAAATAAAAACTACATACGGTTAATGTTAATGAAAACCAAGCACTGTGGCAAATCTATATGTAAACGTAAATCAGGTGAGCAATTTTAAAATTGTTAATTATGTGTAAGAAAAGCTCTATATATCTATATATATATAAAAACTACAACAAACAAATATATATATATATATACATATAGTTATACATATATATATATTGAACTGTGTATTGTAAAATGTATAAAGCAAACAAGTTGAATGCAAAAAATATACGAAAAACAAAAATTGTCAAAATAAATATCACTACAACAACAAATTTATTAACAATTAAATTTCAATTGGCAAACAAATAATGCTATATCAAAGAAATTCCATTTTAATTTAATACACATAGATAGTTTTCTTTCTTATTGTTTAGAAAAATGCGTTATTTTGAGTTTTGTGGACTTCTACACAATATACAAAAGTCGATGAGATGTGCGAAGCATTTTTATATTAAAGCCGTAAAATACTCTTTTTTATAAGAATGGGTGTTTACAAGGCTATCATAAAAAGGCTAATATGTCACATTATTTACACACATGTAAAAAAAAATGGCCATTGCATTTATAACCGAATTGAAACAATGAAAAACTCAACATTTGCAATTAATATCAATATGCAAAGAGTCTGCGAAATAACCAATTAAAATTAAGGGCTTTAAAATAGCTATGGGTAAATAAATACAGGTCAATGCCGATCGATTTTTCTGACTTTGAAAAATCATAGTTTTTAGCAGAGGCATAAATAATATGCAGATTATGTTAAACAACTAACAATTAAATGTTTTTATTAAAGCCCAATAGATGTTCAGCAATTGGGGTCAATTCTTATTTGGGTCTCCAAAAGCAATTCAAAGTTCACACAAATATATAAAATCACTTACCCTATACAGTTTATGACCTCGCAGAGTGTTCACAATTGCGGCTCCAATTATATGCTGGATCAAGGATAGACGCGATCCCAACGGGGTGTCCATGGGAATGTGCAGCTGAGTGGAGAACATTGCACAGCCAACTGGACTCAGCCACTAAATAAACAAATAAAGCAATAATTTTTAAGAAATATATTCATGTTATAAATAGTTAATATATTTACCTGATTATTGCTGCGGCCCACGCCCGCAGTTTGTTGGACAGGCAGCACAGCAATACCGTGCATCAGCTCCAGATCTTGGATGACATGCATGGAACTGCTTATGATGGGCACATAGATGACCAGGCGTCCAATATGCTCGGTTTTTAAGTTCTACAATAGCAGTGGAAAGGATCAAATTGTGTATTTGAACTGACAATGCGAGCAGCACTCACATCAAAGTAGTCAACCGTGGAGAAATCATCTGGGCAGGAATGTATTATAATGGGCAGCACATTTGTGTTCGCAACGGGCGCCTTATCGTCTTTCCCACAGAATTTAATGGTTAGCTTGGGCGTCACTATGACATCGTCAGGGCCGCTACAACGTGGACGCAGCTTCTCCAACAACTCAAATTTAGACTGAAAATACAATTTTTTAACTGATTAACACAGTCAGGAAAAGAACAGGAGAGCTACTAGTCACCTCATGGCGACCCAGGAAGTAGGCCTGCTTAAAGACAACTCCGGGCACGGCGGATGCCACTGCATCACTGCTTCGCACCTGGACATCCAGATACTTACGCAGGAGATCCGTAAAGATCTCGATGCGTGTGGGTTCGCTTTGCTTTAGAATCGAAAATTTATCCTCATCAAACTCAAACTCACTGGGATTTGTCTCCAGATGCACCTGCAATATAAATTGGAAATTATGAATACTTTTGTTCCCAAAGCTATGGATTTCAATATTACCTGCGAGAAGACGGCCTTGCCGCCACTTTGCAAACTGTTGGCCAGCATTAGACTTGGCGTGTTCCACGTCTCCTCAGTGCCCAAAACTTTAACATCCAATTTGTGTGTCTGCCCGGCGAGATCCTTCAAATCCATGGACCTTGGACATACTAGAGCTCTAAGCGGCGTTCGTTTCGTATTTTGGTTTTGGTTTTTTGTTTTGTTTTTTGGTTTATATTTTGGTTATGTTGTTGCGAGTATTATCGTTTTAGTTTATGTTAATGGTAAAAGTAGGATGATATTATAGGGCACACACATAGCACAAACACACACACACAGAGCAGAAAGGGGAGATAAGATAAGATAAGCACATAATACGAGATTTAAGGAAGAACTCAAAGACCGAGTGGAATAGAATTTAAAAATATAGTAGCACGATACGAGGAAGTAAAATGAAATCACAACATACAATTTAATATGTATAGGATTTAATAAATTTCAGTGGTTTTGGGGGAGTGCAATACACCGATAATAAATATAACAAATTAATTTTGAAAATCGACACACAAGACAAATATATGATTTAAAATCATGGGAAAAAATGTACAGAAATAGCGCCAATTTGAGCATGAAAGGTTTGAGAAACACAAAAGAGATTAGAATTAGTAAGAAATTGTTGTTAATTATGTTGGCTAAAGTATTTTTCAAACACAACATTAATATTTAAGTAATTACAGTTATTTAAAAAAATATTCAATATACAAAAGCAATTCAACATGCATAGTTATAAAGGAATCAAGTTAATAAGCTTTAGAATCTGGGACACTCGCATGTATATAGTAAATAGAAACCTGGACTCTTAGGGGATTGCTTATAATTACATTTCGAGATAAAGCCACTCAAATTATTTTGTAGTCCATGACATAATATGCTTTATAGATATTTTGTGGAATTCATTTGAAATTCAAATTCAATTTAGCTTTGAGTGTGATATTCTCGTGTGGAATGTGTTGTGGTTCATTGTGTTGAAATCACAGACACATGGCAAGAAAACTTACGGTGTACGCGAATGCGACGGAACCGACGACTCCTCGCTATCCGTAGAGAAGTTCTTCTTAACGGGAGAAGGCTGGTAGCAGAAAATGTGATGCATCATCTTCACCCGCTGCCATTTGTCATAGGAAAACTGAACCAATTCGTGCTCTCGAACCTGAAATCATTAAGGAAATTGCTTTATACTGCTGACTTGATTACTATTTCATTCCACTCACCTCAGCCGTGCGATAATTGGGCAATATGAAGTGCAAGATATCCGAGCAGAGACTCAAGACCTTGCCGCCATGCAGAAAATAATCGACAAGTATCTGGCCAATGTTTGGTGGTACTGATCCACAAACAACGAGCAGCGCCGTCTGCTCAATCCAATGCTTTTGCCCCGCCTGCTGCGGTGTCAGCGGATAAATGGTGTACACATCCGACTCAAGGAGCTGACGAAGTGTTGCTATTGCAGAATCCCGGGCACTTGCGCTGTCCGAATAGACGAGCACATTAAGCGGTTTACATTCACCCAGGCTATTCTTATTCCGCTGCAAAATGGGACGCTTTCGGGATGTTGAAGCGGCGGATTCCGATGGTGGCGAATTCGGTTTAACGGCCACAAAACTCTTGCTGGGCGTCGATGTTTTCGACGCTTGTGCGGATTTCGATTCTTGGCTGGATTCTGCTGCTGGCATGGTGGTTGGGGTTTTTTCCACTTCACGCGGCTTGCTCAATAGATTTTCAGCTGTCGCCGGCTGCTTTAGCTTTGTGGGCTTGGCAGGAGTTGTTTTCTTGGTGGTGGGTTCCACAACAGCCACGGCCTTCACACTGCTCTGTACTGCTGCAGGCGGCTGGACTATTGGCTCCTGTTTGGGAGCACTAGCCTTGAGTTCGGTACGATTCTTTTGCTGCTCGAATTCGATTGCCTGGTGAGCTAATACGCAGAGACCACGTAAATCCTCCAAATGCTTCTGCCAGCCCTCTGGACTAATTTCAGCTGAGTTGCGCGATTGACGCTTCAGATGATTGGCCAGCAGCTCGAAGGGCTGCGGTTGTCCCTCGCCCTGCACAGCTGCAGAAGCAAATATTTGAGATTAGTGTGTGACTATAATGTTTGAAATAGAAATCAGCTACTGGGCTTACACTCAATCCTTATAAGTGGCAACTGATCGTTTATATATAAATTGTTTTGTAAAAATGTCATTATCAATAGTTGTGTGAAGTGCTCAACGTCCGTCTCGATGAGCACCGCCAGGTGGGAGTCTATTTTCCATGCGATTAGCTTACCGTAATTTTCCAGCTGACCAAGGATTTAGTCAATTGATCACAAGCATGAAAATAAAGTAATAAGATAAGAATAATATATATTACAAAATTGCCGACATAAATAAATAATCCCTCACTAAATAACTGAGAGATATAAATGGATTCGAAATTCTTCACAAATTTAAATTTACTATATATCAAAAATTCTATCAATTATTGTTGGACATATTCAAACTATCAAAATTATAAATAACTTTAAGAACTACAAATCGAAATTTAACATATATGAAAAAATTCAAACTATCCCAATTCTCGATATCTCACCTAAGGATTTTTTGTTAACCTTTCTTAGTTGTATTTTAATAAATTGTAGTTGAAAATGTAAATCTAAGATTGCGAAACTTTCATAGTTATATTTAAATATATAATAATCGAATATTTAAATCTAATTAAATATTTCTTATGGGGAATTTTCCATTTAGAAATTTAAACTGGTTACTAATTAATTTGAAGATAGATGTAAACAGATAGATATATAGAAATATGTCTGATTTTTCACTCCTCTTTGAATAGTTATTTACCAATGGTTAACCCCAATTTTAACCAACAAAATTTTGACAGAATTTTGTAATAGAATTTTGAATTGAATTGATCTATTTGTATAAAAAAATAATAATAATATTAACCATAGCTATAACAATAAATCATAAATCTTACCCGAACCGGAACGAAGTGTGCGGCCGCATCCCGTTCTACCTGAGCCTCGAGCAACAATTGCAAATGTTGTGTCTTGTCCGCCGACAGAGTTATGCGCGGCTGCGGTTCAATGTCCGTTGGTGTCGCTGTGGGCGTCAAGGCATCGGCGGCATAGTCAAATGGCAGCCAACTGGGCGCCGCTGGAAAACTGATCCATGGCGTTATGCGCACCGTTTGCAATGGACGCAGGCAGCAACCGTGTTGATTGCCATGCAGCCACAAAATATCCGTAACCTTGGCCGCATTACGATTAGCACACAGCTCCGAACTGGCAATTGTCGCATCTGACACACAATAAGAGACGGGAGAATTAGTTTGCAGCTTTCTATAAACCATAACCCGGTAACAGAAGTCTCACCGAAGCCATCGTCATGGCCAGCTTGGAGCGCATAGAATGCAATGCTCGACGATTGCGCCAACTGCTCGGCAATTTTGTTGCAGGCCCTTTGAATTCGCCAGGATTGCATCAAAGTAGCGCTCACGTAATACAGGGTTAACATTTTGGGATGATGAACAAACGGGGGGAACAACGGTTGCGAGTCTTTTTAATTTTCAATTATTGCCCATTAGGACACAAAAACACGGTCAATATTAATGTATGTTGGGCACGGCACGGCTGTGGTAAAATCAATTTGCTGTTTCGTAATTTGGCAAATTCAATTTGCTATTTATCACTGCTGGAACGCTCTCTGCCTTTTCCGCGCTTCCTTGGCAACCGTTCGACACAGTTTCTTTTTTTGTTTTGTATTCCTCTATGCCATGACATTTATTGTTGATTACTGCACACGCAAATTCGTCGCGACGCATCAGCGCTTATCAATCAGCATGATAAGAATGGGCAACATTCACAGTGAAGCGCGGGAAACAGCTGTTCCACTTAACAGTAAAGTTTTTAAATAAAAAATTATATAATTGGCATGCATTTATTGAGAAATGAATATGTATTGCAGATCATATGATAAACAGTATAGTTTCTAAAATATCTGTGTAGCTTTTGTTGCTTTAGTTGTTTAGATAAAAGTCAATTTACATATGTTAATATAAGATTTTTAACCCAACAACTTCTGAAATAAGTTATAGTGAACTATTTTTTAAAGACTAAGCATGCAATCGATAACGTTTAATCAAGATATCAACATTGATATCGATATGCATTTAAGTCTAGCGACAGAATCTCTTCGAAAACTGTAATAGACTTACAGTTGTCACTCTTCGAATGCTGTTGCGATTTTCTGTGCTTTAGTGCTGTTAAATTTTAATTTTGTATTAATTTGACTTGAATAACTATTCATTGCCTTATATAATTTCTCGGAATAGAAACAATTTAATATTACGCATATATATGTTGGTTTTTAACAAAATATATTTGCAAAATCAAAATGCAAGAACCGGCAATTTAGTTAACATTTGTGCTTGCTGCTGATAACATTTTAGTAGAGTGTCAGTTAACAGCCGAAAGAGCAGCTAAAGCGAACTCAGAAAAACACGCGTCATAAAGAACAATAAATAAATAAATAAACAATATTTAAACAAACATTTGAAGTGAAAAGCAGATGCTTTAGATGAAAATCACTACTGATTTGACTCTGACAATGCTGCGGCAAATCCAAAAGTGCACGACAGCATTAGATAATTGTTATAATGCGGTTTGGTTAAAAAAGTAATAATTAAAGTCAAATTGAAAGAGAGACTTACAAAGCGACTAGCTTAAGTAAAAACAGAAAAATTAATACAGTTTTTGGAGGCAACGGCATGTTATTGGGCTTGAACGAGCTGACAACAACGCGGCGTCTTTTGTTTATTGTGGCTGTGCTGCTGATTGTGCTATATGCAAAAACATATATACTGCCTGTATTGGAGTGGTATTGGACAGCGATCAGCTTATAGCCGATGATATATCGTAAGGATGACAGATAGACGCGTCTCCTATTTCTACAATGCCGATGTTGGCAATTTCCATTACGGCGCCGGGCATCCAATGAAGCCACAGCGCCTGGCCGTCACCCACAGTCTGGTGATGAATTATGGCCTCCACAAGAAGATGAAAATTTATAGGCCATATAAGTAAGCGAAAATATACAATTACAATAAATTATTGTTATTAATAAACTCATAAATTATAGAGCAAGTGCGCAGGACATGCTGCGCTTCCATAGCGATGAATATATCGCATATCTGCAGCAGGTCACTCCACAAAATATCCAATGCAATTGTGAGTAAAGCGAAAACTTGAATTTCAACAGAGCAAATTTCAATAGGGTATCTTGTTCATCCTTGCAGCTGTTGCTTATACCAAGTATTTGGCCCACTTTAGCGTTGGCGAGGATTGTCCCGTCTTCGATGGACTCTTTGACTTCTGTGCCAAGTACACGGGCGCTTCGCTGGAGGGCGCCCAGAAATTGAATCACAATCACAGCGATATCTGCATTAATTGGTCGGGTGGCCTGCATCATGCCAAGAAATTTGAGGCATCGGGCTTTTGCTATGTGAACGACATTGTCATAGGCATATTGGAGCTGTTGAAATATAATCCGCGCGTTCTCTACATTGACATCGATGTGCATCATGGCGATGGCGTCCAGGAGGCCTTTTATCTAACCGATCGCGTGATGACGGCCTCGTTTCACAAATATGGCAACTATTTCTTTCCGGGCACCGGGGATATGTATGAGATTGGTGCTGAATCGGGGCGATATTATAGCGTCAATGTGCCGCTTAAGGAGGGCATCGATGATCAGAGCTATTTTCAAGTCTTCAAACCGATCGTTTCAGCAATTATGGACTTCTATCGACCCACAGCAATTGTTTTGCAATGTGGCGCTGATTCCTTGGCTGGAGATCGTCTCGGTTGCTTCTCGCTGAGCACTCGCGGGCATGGCGAGTGCGTCAAGTTCGTGAGGCAGTTGAATGTGCCCACCTTGGTGGTGGGCGGCGGTGGCTACACTTTGCGCAATGTGGCTCGCTGTTGGACACACGAAACATCGCTTCTGCTGGATCAGGAAATAGACAATGATTTGCCCGCAACAGAATATTATGACTTCTTTGCGCCAGATTTCACACTGCATCCGGAGGTGAATTCGCGACAGGACAATGCCAACTCCAAGCAGTATCTGGAGCTGATTGTGAAGCATGTGTACGAGAATCTGAAGATGTGCCAGCATTCACCAAGTGTGCAAATGGTGCAAACACCGCCCGATGTTGATCTCGAAGAGGTGCGCATGAGGGAGGAAACTGATCCCGATGTGCGCATGTCCCAGGCTGATGAAGACAAACTCGTCGACGCAAAGAATGAGTTCTATGATGGGGATCAGGATCAGGATAAACCAGACTCGGTGGAAAGTTAGAGTTGTATACCATTATTATAAGGAAGAGTTCAACATCCACACACAAAAATTGGCTTTAAAATAGACACAGACATGTATTTATTATATATTTGTATTGCCGATCGAAACTGGAATCAGACGAATGCAACAGACAATTATACCTTAATAGTGATTATAAATGTATCGAAATTTAATTTTAAGTGTACACACTAACTAAATGCATGTTGAATTCATTTTACAATAACTGATTTCTTTATAATCACTATTAAATAGAGCTGAGAAAACTTGCCGTGCTAGCGTTAATTTCTTGACTAGCTTAACATATTTTCCCAGCTCCAAGCGGGGATTACAGGAACGTTCCGATCCGATGCGATGTGATTCGAGTCGATTACCAGCCAGTTGTTGTATTTGCCAAGCGTCGCATGCGTCGTGTATTTCGATCCTGGTCGCGGATTTTCTTCTCCATTTCGGCATCGGTTAGCGTCTCTAGGAATGGTGCCCAGGCGTCCGCATCGCTTGGATTGCGAAACGGCACATCAATCGTGGACAATGGTGCCTCACTGAAGGCATAGGTGCGACAATGCCACGACAATTGCCCACGTATGCTGTACGCAATCGCTGTGACAAATTCACCGCCCAGACCCAATTCGGCGCACAACTTGATGGCAAACTCTTCGGGATTGTTGTTCTTCTCGGACATGTCCCATTCGACCTGGTCGACAAGAGATGTGTTGCCCACGTGTATGTTCAGTTTGACAATGACACGCTGATCGCAGCTCTCCTCGAGTATGGGCGGATCGTTGGGGAACGCTTCGATTTGCTGGCGTATCGCCTGTGCAATCGCCGGCACAAATGGCAGGGGATTCAGGTCGAGATCATCGCAGAGTACTTCAGCAAATTGTTCAGGTGTTATCATGCTCTCGTTCTTGTTCCATGTGAAAGTGTCGCGCAACTTTTGCCCCTCCAGCTCCATGTCTAGGCGTATGGGCACCAGACACTCTTTCTGCGCTGCATTCTCCAGACTCGCCGTGGGATCGGTGTCGTCAAAGCACATTGGGAATGTGCGCACCTTCTTCGTGTGCACACGATTCCGATTAATGGGCGTCGCCTGCGGCACTGCATCCAGGTGACTTGAATTGGGCATTGTTGGTACGTATTGCGGTTGCTTCTTCGATTTGCTCTCACGTGGCGCGGGTGTATCCGAGGTGTTTACTGACACAGCACGATACCTACAAATTTCAAAAGTTATCAAATTAATTCAGATAGAAGAATATATTTATGGGGTCCAATCTCACTTCTCATCATTGCCGGCCATAATGTCGTCGACTTCAACGGCGCGGAGCAGCGACACCGAACTCGCCAGTATGTGTGAACTGAGGCCAGAGTCGGCTAGACGCTTTCGCTCCTCATTGGAGAGGACAATGCGTGTCATACCCGGATACTTTTTGTAGAGGATGCCACGGAAGTGTCGCATATAATTGCCCACCTCGGAGCCTACATAATAATATTCGCCGCCCTCCTCCAGCTGAAAGGCCACAGGCTTATCACCGTATGTCTGCAGCGCCATCCTCTTAGCTTATGTACACTAACTTGCTATACACTGCGTTCTATATATGTACAATAAATATATCTTTAATTAAATTGGTTTGGATTCGATCACTTTGCGAGTCAATAAAATTTTCATGCAAGCAGCGACATGGCGTCGTTAGGGTGACCAGTTCGCGTTAAAGATTCCTCTGACACAGAGTTGCAAAATCGCAATATCTATCACTATATCGATATGTTCCAATTTGTTTACATTTTAATATTTAACTTTAATATGATTTGGATTTTGTTTATATATTTTCGCAATCTTTATTAAGGTCCTGGCTAGAGCAGTGCAAGCCGTTGTATTTATCGTTTAATTTATAAGCTATCGATTACTTTGAATTCATAAATACGTGTAGGGTGACAGCCCTGCTGCTCATATGCAGCTGCATGAATTTCAAATGATATGTACAACTTTGTTCAATTTTAATATTTAAGTTTGTATACGACATTTGGATATTTTTCTAAATTAATTATCAACAATTATTAGTGACATCTATTGCAGCGCAAATCCTTATATTTAGCTTTAAGCTATCGATTATTCTAAATTCATAAATTTTCATGGGTTGACAACACTGTTGCTCATATACACCTGCATAAATTCTAGTTGAGCAATTTTAAATCACATTAAAAATGTCTCTTCTGCGCAGTATTGCTGGTGTAATAGCGCTTGCCAGGCCCATAAACAGTGCCACGACAGGTTTGCAATCCGTGAATAGTGCAGTTCATACATTAACTTATCATATTTGCAGTCCAAACACGGCGACACTTCAAGCGCTGGGTTTCACCAACGTTACGTGAACTTGCGCACCGCGTTAAAAAGCAAGGAGTCCAGAAACCGGAGCCACGTTCGGGATTTGTTGAGTGGAACTATCGTTCCGAGTTGTTTGCATTTGGCAAGCGATTGAACGAGGACTTCCAGTTGCCGCTGCTGCAAACGGCATTTACACAGCGCACCTATGCCCATCAGGAGCAGGAGAGACAGCGAAAACTGGGAATTGCCGAGGCGGATCTGCAAATGGGCGACAACAGTCAACTGGCCACAAAGGGTGTACATATTGCCAAAGCCTACATCGAAGCCTATTTGCAGAATGCGCTGCCCAAAGTGCCGCCAGTTGGTCAGCAGGCAATTGCCTCGTATCTGCTCAGCACTGAAACATTGGCACACGTTTGCACGCATCTTGGCGCCAAGGAGCTGATATTTTCCACAGAGTATCCACCGAGCAGCGAGACGCTCGCCCAAACGCTGCACGCGATCATTGGTGCACTATCGGATTCAAGTGGCGTCGAGCGCGCTTTTCTGTTTGTGCGCGATTTCATTTGCACACAGCTCAATCAGAAAGATCTGCTAGAGATTTGGACACCGGAGCAACCGCTGCAGTTGCTGGGTGAGATCTGCACGCAGAAGAAATTGGGTGAGCCGGAGCCACGTCTGTTGGGCGATTGTGGTAAAAATACGGTGCTGGCAGCATACCATGTCGGCATCTATGCTAATCGCCAGTTGCTGGGCAAAGGATTTGGCGAGGATCTGCAGATGGCAACAGAAACAGCCGCCATCGATGCACTCCAAACGCTCTTTGAGATGCATGACGATCGACAGCCGTTCGACTTTCGTCTGCAATTGGAGGCCAAGAATGTGAGGCTGGATTAAGATGCAGGAGTTGATCGTTAATTACTATACATGTATATATATATGAATTATACATACTAATCATATGTAGATATATGTAAAATATCCAAAAACAAAGCACAACGTGTACTTCCTGAGTGGAGTCGGTCAATAATAATTTTATTTTTAATATTTTTCTTTTTAACTATTTTTAAATAACCACTGTAGTCTACTGCAAATTCTTAATCACTCTCCTCGCCCATGGGCGTTCCAGCAGTCGATGGCGTGCTCGCATCGTCCGGCTTCGATTCCAGCGAAAAGGGCGGAATCTTGCAATCAAAGGAATACCCATCCTCACGCTCCAGCCGAAATGTGCCCCACATATGACCGCTGGGAGCCTGCAGACTAACATGGCTGCTGTATTGAAAAGCTGGCAGGCGCGGACTGAGGATCGGTTCCTGACCAACGACGCCGCGTCCACGCACCGTCTCCAGTGTGCCGGACAGCGAAAAGATGCGCCAATGTCGCTCACGTAGCTGTACACTCAGCTCGCCGAGATTCTCCAGCCGTATGCAATAACGCCACTGCATTAGCAATAAGGAAAAAATTAACAACTTTCGATTGAGATTGGATTTCATTGAATGATTTCAATTCTCACCCAGTAGACGGATGATGCGGGCGTTTCTCGGCAGCCCATATAGAAGGGTATAACAGTGACGCGAACATTTTCGGTTGTCTCCTTGTGCACATCGCTCATGTCTAGCCACGGATGATTCTTCTCCTGCCACGCCTTGAGCGTATCCTGGCCCACAAATGGCGGCTCCGCATCCTGAGCATAGGTTAGAAACTTGTCAAACAGTTCGTGCTGCAACGGATGCTTATCGGTCGAGCAATATGGCATTATGTCATCGTGCGCCACATAATCCAATCCGGGAATCGCATACAAACTGCGATTCGAGTCCTGATTGCCCAAAAAGGTCACAGCCTCGGTTTGAGCGCGCTAAAAAATACACTTTGCTTACTAATTATGATAAGGCAACAATGAGAATTACTCACGATATATGGACAATCCCTGTTATCGATGAGCACTTGGTAAAACGTTTGGGTTTTGCCCTTAACCTCTTTGGAATCGACGGCACTGGTCGTGCTCCGATTTGTGGCCGGACTAGCAGTGCCCATAGTTGTTGCGCTACTCTGCGTATCGATGACACCTGTACCAGCCTGCCATGATGATGATTGAGCCTCATCATGGTGGGCAGTTGCTGTTGTTCCGTTGCTGCTGTCGCCCGTCTTCGCTCTAAGCGTTGTTGTTGTAGCCTCTGTATTGCATTCCGTCGATGTTGTTGTTATTGCCGCCGACTGCTTGCGGGTATTATGAAGATCTCGGTCGTAGACACGTGCAGTCCATGGGAAGAGTATGACGCCACGATAGCCAAAGATGCGATGCAAAAACAGCTGGCCCGTATCGTATTTGCCTTCCTTTGCTTCCAGCAGACGCCCAACCTCTGCGAGCCTACAATTTATGTATACAAACAAAGTCAGAGATTATGCAATCAGTGTTATTGTCCACCAACATGATGGCCCCTGGCTGACCCAGTTGATCATGATTGGTGGTGGTCGCAGTTCTTACTTGGTTGGATTGACGGCCTGCTTTTTGATGCTACGCGTCACTATTATATCACATTTATGCAATTGCAAGCGCTTTTCCCATTTGCAAAGTTGCAGCAGCAAACCCATTTGTTGACAAAAATCGCAAAACTGCTGTAAGTGCAGCAGCAGCCGTTGTTGTTGTTGACCTCAAGGAATCTTCGATCTGCTTTTATGCAACTGAATGTCGTCTGCACGCCAACCAGTTATTGTTGCTGTTACGTTGCCGTTGAGCAAGTAAACTATGTACATGTACTTAAAATTTTGTAAATTTCGTAAATCGCCTCTTCAGTGAAACATTGTTATTGTAATATTTAGTTTTGTTTTTCTCCTTTTTTTTATTTTCTTTTTGAGTTCGTTCTCTATGCGATACGATTAATGTGTATGTTGCGCAGCAACCCTGCGCACACTATCGATATCTATATTTATGTCGAAAAACAGCTGGAATGCAGCTCTGTCTGACAGAACTGTCATCCTCTCGCTCTTTCGCCAATCGACAGATTTCCGGTACGTACGCGAACTTTATGCTATGCACTGAAAATTATAGAAATATACATGAAAATAATAATTATAAGTACAAATTAGTGTGCAAATGCATAGTTCAATATATACAGCATATCAGCAAATAGTTGAAATTTCCGTACATAGTGCAAGCATTCCGATGTTTATGGCTAGGAGAAAATCAAGTGGCCCAAAACAAATCACAAGACCAACTTATTGTGAATCGGAACTTAGTTCCTTTAATGTTAAATGTTATTCATTCTTACAGTGAACTATGGCTGACACACAAGCTAAGCCCGCTGCGTCCAAGGTTGCCAAGGCGCCCAAAGCGCCAAAGGCTGCCAAAGCGCCGAAAGCCGCCAAGGCACCCAAGGCAGAGAAAACTGCCGCCGCCGCCGAGACAAAAGTGGCAGCCAAGAAATACAAGCGACATGGTCGTCTGTTCGCCAAGGCCGTCTTTACCGGTTACAAGCGCGGCTTGAGGAACCAGCACGAGAACCATGCCATCCTCAAGGTGAGACAGTCTAATATATTTTTTGTTATATATTTGTTATTAATATTATCGCATTTGCAGATTGAAGGCGCTCGTCGCAAGGAGCACGGCGAATTCTACGTTGGCAAGCGTTGCGTTTATGTCTACAAGGCGCAGACGAAGAAGTGCGTGCCACAGCATCCCGAGCGCAAGACTCGCGTCCGTGCCGTTTGGGGTAAGGTGACCCGCATCCATGGCAACACTGGCTCCGTCCGTGCACGCTTCAACAGGAATTTGCCCGGTCATGCAATGGGACACCGCATTCGCATCGTGAGTTTTTTAATCTTAATATTTGTTTTAATCATTTAATTGTTTCTTTTTTTACACTTCAGATGCTCTACCCATCAAGGATTTAAGTTACTGCATAACTTTAAATGACCTGAGGATAAACAAATAAAAACCGTTTTCTATAATAAATGAAACAATTTAAATTTAAGCAATTGTGTTTTGAAAGGCTTTTTATTTACAATATTACAATGCAGATTGTTTTACTAGACTGCTTGTGAACGTCTATGTGGATATCATAATAGTGGAAACAATCCAGTTGTTATCGCATGTAAAAATATGGAATTTAATTTGATAAAAAAGAAGTATGTTAATCGTCAAATCAATATTTTGATCAATTTTATATTAGCAGCATTTGCGTTAACAGTATCTCTTTACTGAATTGATATCAGTTATCGATAAAATGACAGCTGTTTGATTACAGCACCACAGTAGAGTAACCATCACATCATATACAAATTTTTTATTTTACTGCATGTAAATCTGTAATTCTTATTTCTAATGCTTATATTATTGCATAGTTATGCGCTCAGGCTTTAATTATGAATATAGGTGGCTGTTTTTATAAATATTATGTATTCAATTTCAGTAGTGTAAATAAAACATACACAATCACCCCCTCTCCCTCTGCGCACCAAGAAAATCAGCATCAAATTTGTGTCAGTAATTTAAATATAAAATGTATATTTGTGTGACCCTTTTTTATTTACAGCGAACGTATGTTATATAGTGCTGGAATACCCTTATTGTTAACGGTTGCCAAATCGGTTAACAGCAAACGGTTAACGGTTAAATTAATATAAATTTGGAAGATTTTTATGCTCACCGATTACAGCCACACTGCATTAGACCATTTTAAATAAACCGTTCATTGGTGAAGGTAGCGTCTATTTTCACATTGCGATTAATATTCTCTTAATACAGCGAGAAAGCAAATATTGTACAGTGAAAACATAAGGTATGTTAATAACTTATTTGTGTTAATTGCTGAAAGCAAAGCTCGACATTAACTTGTTGCATGTGCCCCAAAAATCGATAATTATCATCTTTTCACGTGTGCTTGTGTCATGGAATTTTTGAAGCGAAGCAAACTGTGTATCTGCTTAATGATGATGTTGCTGATGATGATGAAGGGCTTCACAGGGCCAGCCATATTTGTGTGTGTGTATAGGTATTTGTGAAGTGCAGCTGCTATTAAATGTTATTTGGCAGAGCTGCCATGCAGCTTAAGTGTACATATGGTAATGCATGCATATGTATATGTATAAGGAAAGCATTTAAAAAACGTAGCACATCTTCACATCCCTCTCCATTCCATTCTCCCTGGTTACTGTTAACCGCACCCTGGGCTCTCCCGGCGTTGCTTTAGTGGCCATGTTTGCATTTTTGCTTGCTTTTTTAGTCTAGCGACTGCATGCCTCACTCGCACTTATTAATCGCATGCGCTGGCTAAAAAAAACTAGCTACGAGCAGTTTAAATCGCACTCGCTACTCACACGCGCATAGATATACGTGTGCATGTGTGTATATGTGTGCTTTGGGTCAGTTTTACGTTTGTAAATGTTGATTGGATTTACTCTCATTATGATAAATAAATATATGCTGCTCCCCACATTGGTTAAACTAGATTTGGGTATGTTATGTACATATATATATATATGTGTGTATATTTCTTATACGACCCATGGCCTTCGATATCTGTTTTTAATGTATTTTCCATATTTGTCTTGTCATTAGGCAATAAACAGTCTCGAAACAATAGCAGAAGTGTAACAGAAGAGAGGAGGAAAACCGGCATATCGACGATTTCAAGTTCTATTCAGATTGCTCATTACTCATAATATAGAAAATACTTACACACAGTACAGCCTGGTAATAATAATAATAATAATTTGTACGTGTAGTAGTCTCTTTTTGTTGACTCATACATATTTATTTATTTAGGTGCTCAAGTGCTCCATTAAGCAATTGTGATAGCGCAAAAAAAAAAATAGAAGGCTACTGCGCCAGTCTTATATTTACGGATCTTTGACTTTTTGCATTATTCGGTCATTCACTTTGCTTTGTTTTACCCCCCGACACACACATACACATATACCTCAACATAATTGTGCTTGTGAGTGAGTGTGTATGTATTGTGCATCCCGTGGGGGAATTCACCCAAGCTCGCCGCCTGCCTCCCACAAAGCATGACGCATCATTAGCCGCGTTGTACAACACTTCTCTTGCAGATGTCATCGCCTATTCGCCTGCCCCTCCCCCCACTCTGACCTCATTTTCATCTCATCAACGCACTTACCGAAAAAAGGAAATTTCTATTCAGCCATTTATTCTGCATAATATGCATCGGCTTGACATCAAAAACGACTGCAAAAAAAAAAAACGCCAGAAATGAGAAAGTTGGCGGCTGGCAGGTCCGCAATTATGGGTAACGGGAAAGTGCAAAAGAACTCGGCGCTCAAAAATAGACATACATTTATTTTTTTAGTATAATTGTTTGTATGCATATATTTTAGTAGAAAAGTGAACAGCCGGCTTGTCATAGTTGTGCGTCTGTATGTGTGTTTGTGTGTGTAGAGTGATGAGAAGGAGGGGGAAATGTTTCAGTCTGCTGTTGTCTCTGAATTTGTTTCTGTTCTCTATTCTGCCATTTTACCCTTATGGTTCAGTTGGCTGACGCCCGTCAACGTCGTCGTTACTTTATTGTTGGCCGCTTTTGTAAGTGGCGTGACTGTTTTCGTTCTCTATGTACACACTCTATACACACACACATTCATAAATGACTTTACACTGTAAAGTTTGCTCTATGTTTAGAAAGTGTAAAGCTTTATCAAATTTTTTGCAGTTTACTTGTTATTTATTTGTATTTGTATTTTATGGTTAATTGTTGGGTTTTACTAACAAGCTTAAGTAGACAAGCATATTGTTTTATTACTATTATTATTATTAAATTAATCTTACAAAATGAAATTTACGCCAAAATTTAAACTATTTGTAATTAAAAGAAAAGATTTTTCGATTCTTATTATATTTGGTGAAAAGTTTTAATAGACGACCATGTTGGGTTTATTAAATTATGTTTTAAAGTTGAACTAACCACAAATGTTCATATAATTCATAATTCATATAAAGACAAACACACCTACTATAAACATTATGAATGCATCTAAAGTTGCAAAAATATTAATAGCACCACTCTCACAAGAAATGTTTTCAAATGTGTCTTTTTTCTAAATATTTAAGTTAAGTAACTTATAAATACGCTTTTAGAAGGAAAAAATGTATTCACCGTTTTCAACTTTTTAAAATTAAAATGAAGATTAAATTGTATAAAATAGGAAGAGAATGCAGAGAAAAATAACACCGCTATTTGTCAAATGTGCACTTATTTGACACAATTATGAAAATTATAAGTAAATAAACGATTTCTATACAATTAATTTTTTCGCTACTTTTTGTCACTCTTTACTTCAATTAAAAGAAAAATATATATATAGAAAAGAATTCCAGAAGCAATATTAATTTTAATTTATAGGGGAATATATTAGAAGTCAATGTTTGACATAATTGAAAAATTGAATTTTTGGCAACTGTACCTATAAAAATCTATATAATATACATTATGTATCTATTACCGTATTAATTTCCCTTATTAGTGTTATGAATGTGACATTAATCCATGTTTTTACTCTATTATTTCTAATTTTTGCAGCTCCGCTAACAACTAAATACAATGACATCCACCGAACTGAAAATTGGCTTGACCGCCACCACCCGTCCATCTAGCCGCGTCCTGCAACCACCTGGTGGGGGACACACCAACATCTTTTCGGAACCAGAAGTATCGGTGAATGCACCGCGTCCCAAATACAATCAACAAAACTCTTCCAATATGAATGCGTGCATGGGTTCGACGGATGCCAACAAGGTGGTCGAGAAGATTCGTGAGGAGGTGGTTAACCAGAAGGAAGAACAAAAAGCATCACCACCAGCACCCGTCAACTCGTCCAAAGAGACCAATGGTGGTGGCAACAACAAGGTGACGACGAATGAGTCACGTGGCCGAGTTCCACCCGGCGGTTACTCATCCGGCGGCTTCTGGTAGAACCGGAGAGGAGGAGGCAGAGGCACAGACAGGGGAAGATGAAGATGGGCTGCCAAGCATTTAATGACACACACTCATAAAAAATATGTATACACACACTCACACCAAGACATCCTCAAGCCCATTTAACATTTATAAATATAAATCGCTTAATATACACAATTTATCTATACATAGCATATACGACCATATTCATATTCCAAATTGCCTACGATGCAAAATGTTAAAATAATTCATTACTTTATATAACTATCGCCCGCTATCTGCTATTTGGCATTACGTGTTTGTTTTTGTTTTAATATTTGAAAACGTCTAACGCAATTGTTTAAACTTTAAGTAACTTGCGATTCCGCCCTAACTGGAGGAAAAAACATCCCCAACAAATGTACAAACCATACAATAATGGAAGATGCCCAATTTTGTATTTGTACTTCCAATTGATTTGTAAAATGGTCTGTACAATTTTTCCTACATTTTCTAATTACATATATATTATTGCAAAAAAATAAATAAAAATAAACTTAACATTTAAAAATTTGTTTGTTTTTCTACATTTCAAAATAATGACATGCTTTTTTAGATGACGAAAAAGTCCCAAGCAAAAAACAAGTTTTTAATTATGTTAATAATGCCAAATTTTGGCTAAAGAGAAGTAATATCTGTTAATCTGTATTGTTATTTATGTGTATCGAGATGAACTTATGCTTTTATATGCGCTGATTCATGCGGAAGACGTTTTTCAGGTTTGCTGCATTCGGAAATCAGCAAGTTTAGATGTTATTATAGATTTAATACTTTGTTACCAAATAACAACTGTGCTCCTGTAGAGACAGAGTGCTCGACAGACATCCTAGGAATTGTAGTGCATACTATATACAACCGATTCTTAACCAACTTGCTTAAATTGAGCCTTTAAAGAACGCATCAAAATTATCTGATCTGATCTCTGAGATATGTTAAAAGAATGGGATTCGAATACCGATATTTATTGAAGAGCAACATATAAGATTGGCTGCTAATTAGCAATCAAGAACTTAATGATACCCAATTAAATCAGTTTTGGATAATGGTTAAATGCAGATTAGCATTTACAAAATGTTTATTTGGAAAGAAAATATAGAATAATGATGCTCTATCGGCGCAAAGAGATCCATTAAATAACTAATTTTGTCATTTCAATTATACAGACTACCATCAAGTTAGATTATCGGATTTTATACCTTATTATATTTATTTGTTATACCTGATTTTACAAATATGATGACCATCGTGTGTCATTGTTTCTTTTAAAACGTAAGATTATATTAATAATGATTAAATACATCGATGTGTATTTTAGATGACTAATTAACTAGAGCGGGCGCAGACAATGTTACATTTAACAACAAATCATTTTTAGTGCGCAAACCCAAACAGCATTGTGAATATAATTTATATAAAGAATTGTTGTTGTAGAAAATTTGTTGTTATAGAAATTATGACTAAAAGCTGTTCATGTACACGTTTTTGTTTTGTTAAATTGTTGTGGTTCCGTTTTTGCTTAATCATAGTTAGTCCATATTGTTGTTAGACCTTAATTCAGACTATAATTAATTAGATCTTCATGTCATTGATGTACGAATCTAATTCTGCATCCAATTCCTCGGCAGTGGGTGCAGCTTTCCTTTCTCGTCGTTGGCCACCGGCGGCAGCGGCTTTGCCAACAGCCGGACGACGGAAACTGCCACGACGCGGACCGCCGCCAACTTGTCCACCTAAAAATGAAAATGATACCAATTATTTTATGCAAGTGACAACTAATGGCTTCACATTATACATACCACCACGTTTGAAATTGCCACCTCCAGCACCGCCACCCACACGACGCTTGACATCATCGGCAGGCAGGGGACGGGTGAGTGCGGCAACATCTGATACGGCCAGTTGTATGGTCATGGGACGGCCATCCAGGGGTACACCATGGTATTGCTTAATGGCCTTGAGTGCATCAGAACGACGCTCGAATATTACATCAGCGGTGCCTGGCAACAAATACAACAAATATTAAAAATACTTGTACGACGAAAATAAAAACGGAAACTCACCCAATGAGCGACCAGATCTATCATAATGCACGGCAGCCTTCTTCATGGGGCCAAAGTCATTGAATAGCTCCTTAATGTCCGTATTTGAGACACCATAGTCCAAATTGCCGACGATCAAGCGTGTTGGCCCCGCACTGTTGGCAGTGCTGCTGCCGTTTCGCTTTGGACCATCGTACATATCATGCTTCCATGCGCTGTTTACATCGCCCTAGAGGGGGGTAGTATTATAGGTAGAAGATTTGTTTGTTGGTTTCGATTCGATTTCGAACATTCGGGACATTCGCGTGTTGGGGACAATCAATATTTTTCTGATCAAATATGTGGAGGGTGTAGTAGTAGTAGTAGTAGTAGTAGCAGTGGTAGCAGCAGCAGTTGTTGTATCCTAGCCATATATCAACAGAGGAGACGCCATCTCGTAGAAATGCAGACACTAAATATTATATGTATGAATGTATATTGATTGATTGATTGATCGACCGATCGATTGATTGATTGTGTGCCGCCACACTTCGGTTGAGCAAAAGAAATTTGAAACGGGAATTACAAAGAAAACAAAAACAAGAAATTCTCAACGGAATGCGCACTGCTGTAAAATGTTGTAAATATTTATGCATATTTAATACACACAAATTATGAGTTCGATTTATTTCGACGATGTTGCTGTGTAGATCTGCTCCTGTCAAATAGTCTTTTTTTCCTATTTTTATTTGCATTGGCAGCAGCAGTTGCCATTTTGCAGCTACGACTGTCCATGGATACAAGAGTAACGGTACATATACCGTTCATTCGGCATACGCTGGCCGGCCATTTTGAATCCGTGTGTTTTGCATGCAGCACAGGGTGTTTAGCACATTTTGCTTTTGTTTATAATATCAACGTTATTAACGTAAAGGTGCGTTTCCAAACTTGAGCTGTCCGTCTTTTTTTTTTTTTTTTTTGTTTATTATGCATATGCGCATGGATATTTAGCTGCTTTTTGCCTCTCGCTCTCTCTCTCTCTCTACATGACAAAACGTTACGTTTCAATTACCCGTGCGAGCCGAGGCTTTTGTATGACGCCGCCGCCGCTGCCTCCGCGGCGACCTTTGATCACACCACCGGCGCCGCTGGCTGGGGCCGGTTTGCGTGGCGAGCCACCAGCTGCACCGCCACGACGAGCTGCAAATCGCTGCTGGCCGCCGGCACGACGAGCGCCGCCTGGGCCGCCACGAGCTGACTGTGGTTTCTTCTGTGTGCGCGTTGACTTAATGATATCATCCAAACTCATTTCAATTTTATCCACCATCTTGTTGTCGTTGTGTTACTTCCTGCTGCTAAGAAAATCGTCTAAATTTTGTTGAATTTTAATTTGTTTCTTAAGCTCGCACAGCTAAAATAACTTTTTTCAATGGAAACGCGTGAAAATTTCGCCAACTGCTGAAAGCGAAGCACGAGAACGAAAACGTAGAAAAATCAAAGATGGCCGACTGTTCATGAAAAAACGTGCTGTATAATTTCAAAACTTGGCCTACACAGTGCTGTAAAGTACGTGTTGAAAAAAATTGCCTATCGATAAAATACCAACCCCTAAAACGATAATAGTGATAATTGAGACAACTGTCGACAATAAATAAATAAAAGAAAAGGCTGTAAAACATTCCAAAGAATATGTTTATTGTAGCGGTTACGGGTGGCATTGCAACAGGCAAATCCACCGTCACAAAGATCTTTGAGCGTCACGGCATTCCAGTCATCGATGCGGATAAAATAGCCAGGGAGAGTAAGTCAATTTTAAATAAATCTGACGGGATGTTGCAATTGAGCACAATTAAATTAACGATACGTGAACGCCTTCGCAGTTGTCGAACCAGGTCAGCCATGCTGGCAAAAGATACGCGATGTCTTCGGCGACGAAGTGCTGCTGCCCAGCAAGGAGCTAAATCGGGCTGTGCTGGGACGCCTAATCTTCGAGGACAAGGAGTTGCGTGGCAAACTGAATCAGATTACGCATCCCGTCATTCATCGCACAATCTTTTGGAGTGTCTTCAAGCATTTTATGTCGGGTCATGCCTGGATTGTGCTGGACTTGCCATTACTCTTTGAAACGGGCATCCTCATGGACTTTATACACAAAATTGTGACGGTAACCTGGTAAGTGGAATCACAATAATTGAGCATATATAATTAGACCTAATTCTCGTATTCCTGTAGTGATTCGGAGAAGCAGATGCAACGATTGCTGGCACGCAATGAGCTATCCGAGTCGGAGGCTCAGCACCGTGTTGATTCACAAATGCCGCTGGAGAAGAAATGCGAAAAATCGCATTTTGTCGTGGACAATAATGGTAGCGAGGCTGAGACGGAAGCGGCTGCCATGCGCATTTATAACATGATGCAGGAGAGCAATCAGCATTGGTATAATCGTTTCTCGATTCTGGGCGTCATTCTGATTGTGTGCTTTACAATATACTTCCTGAGCAAGGCATTTGATGTATGGCCCAAATCCTGGAGTTTTTAAGCGTCTTCCTTGTCTGTTCGTTTGTTTTTCGCGTTATTTATTTTGTTTTATCTGTCAACCACTAGCCAATAAAACTCTGCAGCAATGGCTATCAAATAAAATTGCTTTTAATCGATTCTATAACGGCAAAGATAATTCAAATTTTTATGGACATGAATGTAGATACACAGGAGATTATGAACTTAATATAAGCAAATTTACTGTTTAAGGCTAGTTTCACAGAATATCTACAAGTTTTGGCGTTGCGCCTCAATTCGGCGCAGGTTCGGCAAGCAACGCCGCCGTTTGTGTGCAGAAAACAACAAATGTTTGTAGACCGTATTTGGTCACCGCCTTGGTCACATTATGATTCAACTGTATAGGGTCCTGAACAACCATTGGTTTCGATAATTGCAAACCTGAATTCGGATTTTGAATAGCGTAATTCACATACCTAAATACAAAACATCGCTGCCAATTAGCACATGGCCTATTTTAAAGGGTTATTATATAATAATTACCTTTTGGGCATATCTTTTAGAATTTTCGATATGAGGGTGTATTTTTTACCAAAGTAGGGACAAATCATTTGTCGCTCAAAGTCAAAGGTGGCATAAAACTCAAAGAGTTCTCGCAAATGCTCTCTGATCACCTGAGTGGTGACGTCAACTCGCTGCACGCCCACGTCGTCAAGTTTTTTTTGGACAAAGTTCGCGATCCAAGCTGCAAGCAAACAAGCAAGAAAAACATATTTAGGGGATGTACAACTAATTATTGTTATTATCTTTAGCACTCACGTCCCACAAGCTGTTTGGCTGACGCTGATAGCTCATTTTGCAGCTGTGCAACCGATGGCAACTGTTGCTTGACCTGCAGAAAATAAATAACCATCAGCGCCATGCTGTAATTTGAAATTTGTTCCGTCAGCTTGCAGCGCTCCAGCCACGTTTTCGCATAGATGCACATGTACTGGGCTAAAAGAAATAAAATAATGAGAAACGCTACATGTTTAGGTGTTGACTGGCTTACCCAATGGCAGCGTCTCAAATATATACTTAAGCAAGTTGGTGTTACAAAAGCCCAAGCTATTTAGGCATATATCACATTCGATTCCAGAGGCCAGATGGCGGGTCTTTATTATTGGCACACGCGCCTGTTCAACAACCTTTTTCAACAATGTGAGAGATTAAATATATATATAAATATGAAGAACAAAACTATTTACATTGATGATGCGCCATTCGTTGCTAGCACAGAATGCGGTTCGCAGCATTTTAAGTTTGGCGAGTGTTTCGTTTGAAGCGCGATTCTCGAATATGTAGAAGCTGTTGCCAATGTCCACGAATACATCCAAATCGGATGAGCTTGTGCCAATTCCCGTTATACGTGAACCGAATCTATATATGCGCACAGACTTCGTGGGAAAGATGGGCGCTATTAGCTTACATAAATCCTGTTCAATGTCAAAGTACACCGGGATCACTTTCAGTTTGTCCGCAACTTGATATTTATCCTTAAAAAAGTTCGCCACATTCCCCAATACCAATCCCTTAGCCTCTGTGATAAATAATTAGTTATATTGGTACATCTACAATGGAGATACCCCTTACTCTTGGGCAGCTGTTGGGTCATTATAGAACGTGCTTTCTCCTCGGCCCGACGGCCTTCCTGCTTGGTGGTATGCGTCGGCCGCTGTACATTGGAAGCGTCATTTTGATTGACAGTTGGGTTGTGGCCATTTGGATGGGGATTCGGATGTTGTTCGACCAAATGTGTCACAGCATTAGCAATTGTTGTGCCAAGAATACGATGGCTACAACCGGTACAGCTGAATGTTCGCCTGATTTTCAGCAAATCGTTGGGCGGCACAAAGGCTACTCCAACACCGCCACCACTTTTTGCATTCGACTGCTTATTGGACAACTGTTGCGCCACACCGTTGGACATAATATACGTCGGCTTCTTGTCCAAATATTTTTCAATACCAACCACGATGCGCTCGAGCAAATTCGTCAATTGTGGATCCAATTGGACCTGACTTTTGTTGCTAACTGCTTCCAGGGTTTCCAAAAAAAAGTTCGCTTCCAAAGTCAACGGATTTAGCTAATGGTAAATTTGCTGAGTTTTTTTTACACACACTGAGTAAATTTAATTATTACTCACGTATAAAAAGTTTTTATCCTGTTGATGTTGGTTTTCCGTCATGGCTTTGCGATTTTTAGCCTTTTTGGTTGCTGCTGCAGCGACTGTGCCCACGACTCTCTATTCAGATCGTAACATAACGTAATAACAAAATCAATCCGTAAAATAAGTACAAAAAATGTATATTTTAATTTACCAAGCTAAGTTAAAACAAATTTGGTGCTTTTTATGCAGCAGCTGATTCGCGCAAGATAGCCACCTATCAAAAGGTTCGCCAAGATGGCCAGACAGATGAACTTACAGTGTTGCTGTGTACATAAATATATGTATGTACACACTTATGAATATGCATAAATATTTTTTTTTAGCTCAAATACTCATTGAACTTGTATACAAATTAAACCTAGAGTTTAAGCGGCATTTGCAAGGGATATTTGTTACAATAAAATTCATATCGATACAGCGCTGCTCATTCTCTTTAACAATTTCTGATGAAATCGACTCACATTGGGTTCTGTTGTTGGCCTACTGCTTTTGCTAATGCCCTCATAGAATTGTCGTTCGGCATCGTTGTAGGCTCGCTTATCCACCCAGAATGACTCAATGTCTTCGATTACCATTATTCAAATATAATTTGCAAGACAATAAACGCAAAAAACCAACTAAAGTAAATTTACGATGCACATTAACTATTAACAAAAGACTATATTCACACATACAAACAAACATTCGATTCAAAAACATCGATACAGTAATATATCGATATTCGCCGAAGCATTTTGGCAATCTTCAATAGAACTCCTCATCTGTCAATCACTAACAGCTAAAAGCTAATAATCGATCGGTTGCAGCATTACCGGGGAAAAACACATGTATTCCCGGTAGGGCTGACTGAAATTGACAGATTATGATTTAATTATCTTTAGATGTAAATATAATTTATTTATTTTGTTTTACTAATGTTTTTTTAAAACTGAATGATTTAGATAATGCGTTCTACCAATACATTAGTATAATATATGTATGCTTTGTGATTGCGCACATTTTGTTTTCCCGAATAATTCAATATCTGTAAAATTATTTTCACAATAGTCAAATGACGCAATAATTACCGGCTTAATAAACTAAAGTGTAATTTACACGCGAAATTTGTTCCGCTCTATTTATCTATTAGAAGAAGTTAAAGTAATTTCGTTTTAAGATCACATAAGATTATAAAAAAAACGCTTATTTATTACTCAATTACACTAGTAATACAAATTGTAAGAGCAAAAATATTTTGAAACGTTTTTAGGAAAAATTACGTTTGAACTATTTTTAGCTTTACATTTTTTCGATTATTCTTTCTTTTTGTAATAGCATTTTTTTTTAATAATAATATTAAGAAAAATATATATAAGTATAAGTATTCTCGAAATCTTAAAATAATTTTAAAAGAATCTGTTTATTAACAATTTAATATTCGGTTCCACCTTCTGAAACTTATACCTGTTTAGTTAGGTGTTTTTATTCTTAATGTATACATAATAAAATATAAAATAAATATAATATATAAATAATATTTAAAGACAAAATGCTTATGTTATTTCTTCAATAAAACTGACACAGAATAATACAATTTCTGAGAATTTACCACATTCCCAAAGTAGATGCAGAAATTTTCTATAAAATAGTTTCGTTAAACATTTTTTTAATGAAGCGAACACAATTCACATTTGAAAGAAGCGCGTAAAAAAAAAATGTAGAAAAAACAAGTGGCAACGCCTTATCTTGTAGCGATGTCTTTAGTAAATATCGGTACATTGGTTATTGTGCCGATTTCAAGTATCGAAGCAGTTTGTACTCACCAACACACCCAAAAATGGAGATTTCCGAGAGTATAAATAGCAGTCGATGTGAAAAATTTCATTATACGTTTGTGAAGCCTCATAGCCGGCAAGTCGAACGTAGACTTTCTCAGATTCACCTCAAACAGTTGCTCTACAGATTTCTGTAAGTTTTCTTTGTCGCGTGTGAAAAAAGTGTAAAAAGAAAAACTCAATATGGTAAGTAATTAATCATTTTCTACTTTTTTTTGTCGTTGAATAAAATAAATTTTGGTCGTGTTGGGGACTACTCAAACTAAGAATTCGGTCCACTTTTTGATCAACTACAAATCCACAAAATGGCGTGTTTACCGATGTGATGACGTCATCGAGCAATTTTATTCAAAAGTTGATTTAAAAAAATGTCTGGATTTTGCATATAACTAGAATCTAACCCAACTTGAGTCGCAAATTGTGAGCAGAAATAAAAAGAATAGCACTAAATATAGAAAATTTTCATGTATATATACACAGCCATCAAAATGGGTGCGGCTTGAGTCACTTATCGATTTTTCTTTTGCATGCACCTCTGAGCAATTAATTCAACTTTCGCCACTTTTTCTTTCCTTTTTTTTTCGATTACAGCGTGAATGTATCTCTATCCATGTTGGCCAGGCTGGTGTGCAGATTGGCAACGCCTGCTGGGAGTTGTACTGCTTGGAGCATGGCATCCAGCCCGATGGCCAGATGCCATCTGACAAGACCGTGGGTGGTGGCGATGACTCGTTCAACACCTTCTTCAGCGAGACTGGCGCTGGCAAGCATGTGCCTCGCGCTGTGTTCGTCGATCTGGAGCCAACTGTCGTGGATGAGGTGCGTACTGGCACATACCGTCAGCTGTTCCATCCCGAGCAGTTGATCACCGGCAAGGAGGATGCGGCCAATAACTATGCACGTGGTCATTACACCATTGGCAAAGAGATTGTTGATCTGGTGTTGGATCGCATTCGCAAGTTGGCCGATCAGTGCACTGGTCTGCAGGGTTTCCTCATTTTCCATTCGTTCGGTGGCGGCACTGGATCCGGCTTCACCTCGCTGCTGATGGAGCGTCTGTCCGTCGATTATGGCAAGAAGTCGAAGCTGGAGTTCGCCATCTATCCGGCACCACAGGTCTCCACGGCCGTTGTCGAGCCATACAACTCGATTCTGACCACGCACACAACCCTGGAACACTCGGACTGCGCCTTCATGGTTGACAATGAGGCCATCTATGATATCTGCCGTCGCAACTTGGACATTGAGCGTCCCACATACACCAATCTGAATCGTCTTATCGGCCAGATTGTGTCCTCGATCACCGCTTCGCTGCGTTTCGATGGTGCCCTGAATGTGGATCTTACCGAGTTCCAGACCAACTTGGTGCCCTATCCTCGTATCCATTTCCCCCTGGTCACCTACGCTCCCGTCATCTCTGCCGAGAAGGCCTACCACGAGCAGCTCTCGGTTGCCGAGATCACCAATGCCTGCTTCGAGCCAGCCAACCAGATGGTCAAGTGTGATCCCCGTCACGGCAAGTACATGGCCTGCTGCATGTTGTATCGTGGCGATGTTGTGCCCAAGGATGTCAACGCTGCTATTGCCACCATCAAGACTAAGCGCACCATTCAGTTCGTTGACTGGTGTCCCACCGGCTTCAAGGTTGGCATCAACTATCAGCCACCCACTGTTGTGCCCGGCGGCGATCTGGCCAAGGTGCAGCGTGCCGTCTGCATGTTGTCCAACACCACGGCTATTGCCGAGGCCTGGGCCCGTTTGGATCACAAGTTCGACTTGATGTACGCCAAGCGTGCCTTTGTCCACTGGTATGTCGGTGAGGGTATGGAGGAGGGTGAGTTCTCCGAGGCTCGTGAGGATTTGGCTGCCCTGGAGAAGGATTACGAGGAGGTCGGCATGGACTCTGGCGATGGTGAGGGCGAGGGCGCCGAGGAGTATTAAACATATACTCCCAACCACCATCCACAATAAGCAACATCGCAACACGCACAGAAACCAAGCGTCTTTGGTGGGCGTCCCCAAAAGGAGCGTCGAAACCAATGTTCACGTTTCGCTTTTGTCAAACAGCAAAAATATAACAGAAAAAATGCATAAGAAAACACACTTGAGCAAATATTTTTGGTAAAGGAAAAGAAAACAACATACCTATATAGTATTTTATTGCTAACCGCTAAAGACAAAACATACCCAAAAAAAGAAAAGAACACAAAAAAAAAATAGATTCAGCTCTAAAATTGTGTACGAAAATAAAATCAGCGAATATTCAGTGTTGCCAGCAGCAAAAACAAACATTTTCTTTTTATCTTTCGTCGTCTTCCAGCGCAGAGTTCACTGAACGACGATGGGCCACACTTGTAATTAGGGATAGGTGCTGCGGACGTGGCTGGGGAAAGCGGAGCAGCGATTGCCGTCGCATGCTCTTTTAATAGAAGTGGAGAATTTGCTTCTACTCCACAACTAGTGCATTTTCTCGTGCATGAGAGACTGTACTTGCAGCATTTGCTTGTATACACAGGCGTGGCATGCAACCATATTTAGCGCAGTTGCCCCCTTCACACACCGCCCCTCTGAGGAGAAAGATGTATCGATTTTGTGATGAGTCATTCTGCAGCATAACAGCTAAGTGTGCGTGTGTGTGTGTGGGGGGGGGGGGCAGAAAGCGATGACTTCATTTCTCAACAGCCTACAGTTGACCTTATATGTATATACGTACGTACACACACGTAAACACACATGCATACACTTTTATGGGGGTTGGTGTGTGTAATTGAAGCCTAGGTAAACCGGCTTGTTGTTGCCTGCTGCGCACAGACGGACATCTTTTTGTCCCTTTCTCTATACCATTTGGGCACATTCGAGAAGCAGGCAGACAGCTGCAACAATCAAATTTTCAGAAAAGGCCAAGAAACCACCGGAAATGCACAAAAGACCACACAGATGGCTGGCCTCTGTAGGTACTTACACACATACTTACAAAAACGGAAATGTGATTTAAGGTTATGTTCGCTTGCATACAAACATACAGTAAGAGCCCTAGATAAATATATATCTTTAAATTTCATAATGTCATCGTAGCATTCCTTGTGATAAATATAAAATATCCCAATAAATAAACCAGGTTTAGTTTTATTTAGTAACAGTTGGCATTGTTTGAAAACAAAGCCATATCAGTAACGCAGAACCCACACACGCATGCATATACACATTTTCTGACCATATTTATATACACATACATATGCATATACATACATATGTGCACTGATTCAAGTTTACCTCAAACGGCGATGACGACAGCTCGAACTCATGGAGCCGGCTCTATCGCATTTCTGTGGGCGGCTGAGTGGGCAACCAGTTTAAAATGACTGTAAGCCCCGCAAATTGAAACATTCATGCAAATGTATTGTATTTATAAATCTACATATGTACATACATATATGGCTTGACTTTTGATAATAGTTGTTTGCTGTTTGATCAATAGAGAAAAAAGAAAGATGTACAAACAGACATACGTATGTATATACATACACATGTACATATTAAATTGGATAGGCAATTGCGTACACACACAAGCTTGTTGTGATACATGTGCATGCTTTTTACTATACACACACTAATGCAAGCAGTTCAATGAGTACATTTCAAAAAAGGCTATCGATAGTATTGGTTGAATTTGAGCATTTCGTTTAGGCTGCGATCTGGCCACTTCTGAGTACTAAGTGGCAGCACCATTTATTTGGCGAACAATTCAAATATCCACTAGAATTTTAAAATGGAATCTTGTTATGAAGTTGTTAACGAAAGATCATTCTGAAACTTAGAAGGTAACTGGGACAATGACGACCGAACTAAATGGTCGGAAGCGACGCAGAGCAAAGTGCGATATTTAAGAAAGCAGCTATATTTTTAATAAAATATGCAAAAATCATCAGTAGAGATTATCCAAGAGTAAGTCAAAACACATTTGAAAACTTCAGACCCATTTTGTTTCGAAATTAAAATTGATTAAAATTTGACATTTAATAGAAAAATCCGATTTTAAGATATTGGTTCCGCTTGACCTTTCTGTGGGAATAATGATCATATATATTATATTTTCGTTAAGTAAAACTTCAAATACTAAAAGCCAAACTAACCACATCAATGGCAGGTAAATAAATGTTCGATTTCATCGCAACATTCATCAATCATTGTGGCAAAAGTATTCTAAACTTTATCTCGGTCACATTTACCGCTAAGTTTTATCCTTCGATTCATTATTTTATACCGCAAGACAGTGGTGTACAAAATTGCACTTATTGTTTCGAGTCCATTTATTTAAATTCCCACCAGAATAAGACATGATGAGGTATTCGGGAATTTTCACCTCGAAACAAGAAATTCTCGATTAAAATTAATGGGTATTTCGAAATGATTTTGTTTTGCGATTGTTCTTCACATAGACTGTTAAATTAAGCGCAGTCTAAGCCAAGTAAAATAAATTGACTAGATATAGGCTTATTTTATTTGCACGTCAATAATATAAATTTAACAGTTGGTTGTGGCGGTTGACCGATGATCGATTCTCCTCATATTATTTGTTTATCGAGTATTTAAATCACATAAGGAAAGTATCGAATCAAGTGGGCTTTGAAAACTCTGATAGAAATTATATTGTGGTTAGTATTATTTTGTGGTAAACAAATGGCGAGCTAAGTTCAATTTAACATAGTTATGTCGAACAGCAAGGAAACTGGGATCGGCCCCGATTCTGAGGCAGCCGGTGAAGTGTCATTAAATGGCGCTGACACAACGGCGCTGAAGGATTTGCTGGAAAAGCGTCTAAACGATTGCGGTTGGCGCCAACAAATTGAACAACTGGTACGCAGCATATTGGAAGCGCGCGGCGTGGAAAATATAACGCACGATCAGCTTGCCGCAGAAATTATTCCAACTGTGAGTTTTAATAGCAATAATATTTATAGCAATGTCAAAAATAATTTTTAACAGGCTCGTGCCCTGGTGCCCTATGTTGTACGTAAGGAGATGCTGCTGCGTGTTCGCGCCGCCTTGCAGACCCCGCTGCCCCACCAATAAGCTTTCGATATGCGATATACACACCGATAAATTAAATATACGAAGTCATCGTTTAAATTCTAGCACATTGAGTGTGTGGTTTATTAACTTGTAATTAAGTATTTGTATTTATGTATGTACATGCTTACGCCGGCTAATGCTAATTACGATTAATTGCGCCATTAGTTGTACAAATATATATAGAATTATATATATGTATATATAAATAAATAAACAACTTAATAATAATAATGTAATATTCGATTGCTATGTTAATATGTATGTGTTACGTCCTGTACGATTGGCTAAACGAAAATATACAATATATCTGTCATAGTGGATGGGACTCTAGGAACGCGGTTTGTGGATGAGTGTGTGTGAAGAATTATGCTACAAATAATAGGGCTAGTTTGTAATTGTGTTACGTTTACTTATTCAATAGCGAGTCGATTGAAAAGTCTTTGAATTTGGCGTTGGAATCATCGATAAATAGCTGCGTTTGCTGTGCTTCTTGCTGTTGTTGCTGCTGTGTCAATGTTGTTGTTGTGGGCAGCAACTTCATCAGTTTGTTGCGCGGCTTACGTAAAAATTTTGTATTGATTTGAAATTTTTGTGGCTTGCTATTAGAAAAATGAGTTTGCTGTGTTGTGGCTGCTGCTGCTGCTACTGTGGGTGTAATTGTAATGTTTGAAGTGCGATAACTTTGGCGCCAACTACGCAGAGCTGCATTTGGCGATATGACGACTTTTGTTGCCGCGGCTGCTGTCGTTGATGTTGTTGTTATTGTTGCTGTTGTTGCTATGGCTGTTGTTGTTCTTGCTGCAGCGCCTGCAAAAGCATTGGCACCAAAGCATTTGAGAAAGTTCTGCACATGTATTAAACTATCATTCTCATCCTTGTGACGCCGCAGTCGCTGCTTATCCTCGTTCTCGTCCTCAGCCTCGTAGTCCAACGACGAATGCTGCGGCGAGGACGATGAAAATGTGGAGCTGCTGTCGCTGCTGCTGAGCTATATTTGTTTATATATGTAATAATGTATATTTAGTAGCAATTTTGTGAATAGAATAACAGTTTTTGACTTGAGCGCCAGGCTTAGGAGCATACGAGCTGGACAGAGATGACAATTGAATATGGCTGTGTTTTGCAGAGTGTGAAAGAGACGGCAGTTGCTTTGCATTGTCTGGAAGCACTTGGCGGGAGTTGAAATTATTGAAGCCTATGAAACGTATCTTTACTAAATGTATTATAATGAGGTACATTCTACAGTCTTTAATTGAAATTATGCAAGAAAAATAGATAAGCAAAAGCAACTGTCAAAAAATATCGTTCTTTTTGACTAACATCGCCATCAACTGCTCAACAACTGTCAAGTCTGACAGCACAAAAATACGAGGTACAATCACCACACCTTATAAAATTCACCATTCATGGACTATAAGGTGGCAACATGTTGAGTTACCAGTCTTAACAGCACGCAAGTGCAACTGAACAATTTAATTTAATTTAATGTAATATCTACAATCTTTAAATCCAACTAAGCAATATAAAATATATAAACACAAGCAATTGCCAAAAAACAGGTGTTTAACAGCTAATTAAAAGGTATCCTAATAGGCGACCATCTTAAAAATAATTACATCATGATTGAACTTACATCGTCATCTTGATTGTCACGCAGCTGCTGAAAGCTAACGGCCGTTTGCTTTAGCTTTTTGTATATGTGTGTTTGTTGTTGTTGTTGGGGTTGCTGTTTTTTGTTGCTCTTGCTGTAACTGTTGTTCCTTGGCAATTTGTTGCTGCTGGCGATGTGTTGCATGTTTCGGCCACGCTTGGCCACTGTTAGCTTCTTCTTAAGCTGTTGTTGCTGGGCTTGCTGCTCGCGATATGACTTTCAGCTAGTTTTGGCGAGGTTATCGTCGCGCCTTAGTTGGGACTAGAAGCACAAACAGAAAGTGTTGATTAACGTCAGAAGGAAAAGCAGTAATAGTGTGTGTAAACAATTAACAGTTTTAACAATAACAGTGTTTTTTTCTTTCTTCTTTCTTAAGTTTTATCTTTCAGCGAGCTGGCACACAAAAACAACAAACAAATTTTGCCATCGATTATTAAACTTATTTTGTTTTGCGTTGAATAATTTAGATGATGATGTTGATGATGATGATGATGATGATAGGCGATTGCAAAGAAAGCACAATGAATTTTGAAATTGATTGAAATGTTTTAAAATGCATAAGTTGATGGGGGGCGGAGGCGGGGGCGGGGAGGCGGCATAAAATCAAAAGAAACAACACTCATTGGATACAGATGGATGAATAGATGTTTGTATGTATGTGTGTGGGTATGTATGTATGTAACAACGAATTGTAAAATGCTTCAAATTGCACGCACACACAAACACACACACACATACACATAGACATGCACACCCACACCCATAGATATACGTGTACACACACACACTCACACACACACACTACCTGGTGGTGATGCGTGTTGAAAAGCGCATGATGCGCTGCGTAGGAAGAAGAAGAGGTGTTGGTTGAGGAGCTACTGAAATCATCAACGCAGCCGCCGCCGCCGCCAGCGACCCCACCACCGGCACCCAATTGAACTTGAATGCTAGAATAGTGGTGTTGTTGCTGTTGTTGTTGTTGCTGTTGTTGTGAGTGGTGCGATTGCAATTGCGATTTGGATTGTGGATGTGAATGTGCGTGGTGTGAGGCCACACTAATACCAGCACCATCACCAATACCAGCACCACCACCACCACCAGCACCACTCTGTTGCAAACTGATGCCTGTTGTTGTTGTCAAAGTAGCTGTTGCCGCTGCTGCTGCTGCTGTTGTTGTTGTTGCTATGGTTGTTGTTGTTGCTGTTGCAGCAATCGCTGTAGCTGACCCACCTCGTCCAATTGCCGCAGCCGCCGCACCACTCGGCCCTAAGCTCATGCCCACGCCCAGCAAATGGGCAGCAACTGCGGCACTCGAATGATGCGTTTGATGCAAATGCTGCTGCTGCTGCTGGTGTTGTTGTTGTTGCTGTGGCTGCTGTTGTTGTTGTTGCTGCTGCTGTTGCTGTTGCAGATATGATGCATGTTGTTGTTGCTGGTGCGAGTGCAAGTTGTTGCTGGCACTGTTAACAGCGCTGTTAACATTACTTGTGTTGTTGCTGCTGTTGTTGTTGGCAGCGCTGTTATACGCATGAGATGCGGCAACGTGTCTGTTAAAAAGAGTTTTTTAAAAATTGTATAATTTATAATATTTATTGTTTGTCACAGCCTGAGACTCACCTTAGTCCTAGTGCAGTTGCATTGCCCATTGCTAGGCTGCTAACCGCCGACATTGGCGTTGATGTCGCTGCGTTTGCATTGGAATTTGAGGCTACGGGATTGTTGTTGTTGCTGTTACTGCTGCTGCTGTTGTTGCTGCTGTTGCTGCCACGATAGTCGAGTACGCCGCTGGCATTGCTGGCCCGACTGTTGGCCATTGTTGGTATTGTTGTGTTTATCGCTGTTGTGGCCAGCGAAACGGCAGCGGCAAGTGTTGTGGCAGCATTGAGAACGTTGCTGCTGCTGAGGCTGTTGTTGTTGCTGCTGCTATTGTTGCTGCTGCTATTGCTAGAGGCTAACGTGGAAATGGCAAAAGTTGTACAAGTTGTTTTTCTTACACACATGCATGTTAGTTTGTGATATATATGTATATACTTGTGTATGTGTGTGTGAAAGTGTTCTGTGTGGCATGCAACAGCAAACCCGTCTGTACAAAATGCCCAAATCAAATGCAAAGACGCAAGTTTTAATGTTATTGTAGCAGCAACTGTTAACAGCGAGAGCTGCTGTCAAGTAACATAGCGAATAAAACTTGAACAGCCGCTGTTAGTTAGCAGAGTGCAATATCGGATATTTCAAAATATCTTTGGATAAAACGCAAAATAAAATTTAGAATTTGCTTGTTTTTTGTTTTTATAATACACATTTTATTCATTTTTGTAAAATAAATAAAATTAGGAGAAAATTAGCTTTGCATAAAAATAACTTAATTTTAACCATAGCTTACTATAAAGAAAATAAGTGGTAGACTTTTTGTATTCCTATTTTGTTACATTAATTGAGAAATTAGCCTAAACTTGACATTAAGTGCGTACATCCGAAGTCTTGTGTATTATAAGCAGTAATGATAAAAAGCAAAACGGATTCGAGTTGTAAATATTTGTACATGTTCTTCTCATTCTATCATCGGTGTTCTAGTATAAGAAGTTTTTGTATTTCGCTTTTGTTTAATTAATAAATGTAATATTAATAATGTTATGTACAAGATCAGTAGTTGTACCCAATTAACTTAATGTGTAATTTTAATTAATGCGATAACATAGCATTAGTGTGAGGTCTGGCAACGCCAAACAGGCTTAACAGCTCACAAGCATAACATTTTAGAATCTGTAGATGTGAGTATTTATGTATTTAGTACGTACATTAATATATGTAAAACATTACATTAAGGTGGATTATTAATGCCTCCTCCATTGGGTGGTTTCTTTTGTATGTGGGTGTTTGTGTATGTGTTTATGTGGAGAGTGTGTGTTGCAAGTAGTGCCGACACCAAGTACTGAGTGAGTGAGTGGATGCCACAACTACTTACCATGCGCATCGGCGGCTTTGGCATTGTTGATCGCATTATTGAGCGGTATTTGGAGGCGGGCATTCACAGCCAGCAGATGATCTCGACGCGCCAGCAAACTGGTCACATGCTCCTCGAGACGGAGGTTCTCACTCTGCAGCTGGTGTAGACAGCTTAACAGCGAGGCAACTGCAAATTTAAAATAAATATTAAGTTTAAGCTTATGCACTAAACTCGTCGTTAAACTGCTGCTCATTAACCATACTCACTGTCAAAATGCTGCGCCTGCTCCATGAGAAACTGTGAGCCCTGCTCCCACTGACGCTCCAGCAGCTGCTCTAGACTCTGTGGTATGGGCATATTGCCATTGATGCCACCGCCCCCAAACATAGATTGCAGTGGATTCGATGCAACAGTTGCATTGCTGGGCACTAACGGAGTTCGCTAAAAGAAAGAGTGAGAGAGGTTAGAGATGGATGCTTCTTGAGATTCCTATTCTTCGTCCTCTTCACAGCTGCTGCAGAAATCACTACAGATGGCATGAGTGCGCTTATCGAATTGACTGCCGTTTGGCTATCAATATAGATATTGACATTTAGACCTCTTTAGGCAAGACTGACTAGGACTTCCAGTGCTCCGAGCATGCCGCAAGATCGTTCGATCCTTTCGCGAATGTAAGTAAGAAATGGTGTTGTAAGATGTTCTACTGGCACACAATAGTCTGGTTTTAGGGGTGAGGACTATTGTAGTCCCAGAATCTATGGATTCTCTCAGCCATATGGCAGAGAGTGTTGCATTTTCTACGTATATTAGTGCCAAGAATGGAATGCATCTTGGTGAAGATCCCCTGAGATACAAAGTTCAGCCGAATGCTGTATCTAGTTAAGCTGATTTTAGGTAGTTTGCTTGTTTAAGCATGGCTAGCAAACTAAAACATCATTGGTTTGATAATTATTGTTTGTAGTCTGTGGAGCATATTAGGGGACATAACCCATTTGAGCCCACAAGTATATATTATTTGAAAAGGAATCTTTACCTGCTTGCCGGGAAATGGGACGCCCACAAACTGTGAGTTCATGGAGTCCGTTGTATAAATCGAGTGATCCTGCACCTCCATGTGCAACTGCTCGGATAGCTTCTGAGCCACACTGCTATTGGGATTCACATGATTCCCGAGCATATGGGTGGCGGTATGGGCGATAATTGAGCTGGAGACGCTGCCGCTGCTGCTGCTACTCGTGCTCGAGCTAATGCTAATCGCTGGCGTTGCTGGCGGCGTCGGAGCACTCGCTGCTGCTGTTGCACCATTTTGCAGCAAACGCACATCCTTGAGATCATGTTGAGTGGTTGCAACTGCTGCTGCTGCAGCTGCTGCTGCTGTCGCTTGTGCTGCTGCTGCTGCCAGAGTTGCGTCCTTGGCCTTGCGTCCACGTTTGCGTACATTGCTGCTGGCTGCTGCTGCAACAACAGCGGGCAAAGCAGCGCTGCTTATCGTTGATGCCACGGCTGTGGCATGAAGTGGTGTACCAATTTCGGAGCCGGGCGAACTGGGCGGCGAATCCTTAATGGCGCTAACCGGCAACATGGGCACATCCAGTTGTTGGCTGCTCAGCGTTTGTGCCTCATAGGTGAATTTGAGACCACCACTGTTGAGGTTCAACAGGCTGCTGCCACTGGGTGTCGTTGTTGTTGCTGTTGTTGTTGCTGCTGCTGTGATGCTACTGCTGTTGCTGTTGGATGTGAGATCTGGCGTTCTATTCGATTTTGTTGTTGGTTTGTTGTTGTTCGTCGAAGTTGTTGTGGTTGATGATGTTGTAGTTGTTATGGAAGAAGCATTTGTATTTGTATTAGTGAATTGCAATATTTCTAAATCTTGATGTTGCTTAAGCTGTTGTTTTTGTTGTTGCTGCTGTTGTTGTTGCTGCTGTTGCTGCTGTTGCAAGTGCACAAATTGACTATTGACTGAGCTAAGGTTGGTGGGTGGTGAGGAGGAGGAGGCGCTAGCGGGTAGTGCGTTGCTTAAATTAACAAGTTGCTGTTGTTGCTGCTGTTGTTGTTGCTGATACAATTGTGTTTGCTGTGCACGCAACATTTTCTTATTCAATGGCTTTGCAGCAACATTGTTGCTACTTCTGCTGTAGCAAGCAACATGTTGCTGCTGCTGTTGTTGTTGCTGTTGTTGGGGTTGTGTAGTGGACATGTTCACGGGCGAGTCTAAGAGGCTGACAATCGCAGTGCCACCGGAGGCTGAGGACATTGAGGAGGATGTGGAGGAGCACGACGAGGATGTCGAGCTGTTGCCAGCTAGCAGTTCTGTGCCAGCAACAACATTGCTGTTATTGTTGCGAGTGCTGCGCGTTGTTGTTGCTGCTGCAGCGGCGGCTGATGCAGTTGGCGGTGAGTCAATGGAGGAGGAGGATAATGCTTGCAACATTACGACCGGCGATGATGAGTTTGCCGTTAGCAATGCTGCTTGCGGTGGCGGTGGTGTGGGCGTGGCACGATAATGTGGTGAGCTATTGCGGTTCAGTTTCTCAACGGCAACGGCTGCAGCTGTTGTCGTCGTCGCAACTGCAACTGTTGCTGATGTTGTTGTTATTGCTGGCGCAGCAGCTGTTGCTTCAGTCTTACTGAGTGCAGCAGCTCGCTTCTTGCCCGATCGTGACTGTGACTTGGCTGGCGTACTATTGCTGCTGGTGCTCAGTGGTGTTGGTGTGGACGTCGAGGAGGATGCGGTGGATGCGTGCAACGCTAGCGTTTGTTGATGTGGCAGCTGCTGTTGTTGCTGCGACTGCTGCTGTTGTTGTTGCTGCTGCTGCAGTGATTGCTGTTGTTGCTGATGATTGTGATGGGTTGTTGTTTGGTGTGGCTGGTGATGGTGATGATGGTGATTACCACTCTCACCAGATCGCGATCTAAGCACGGTGTGGTAAGTTGACAAATATGGTTGCAAGTGGCAATTGTTTTATATTTTTATAGCGAGTGGGGCATGGGAGTGTATTTAAGCAAAACGAGAGAGAGGGAGAGAGAGAGAGAAAGAAAAAAGAGTAGTTTTTGTTTAAAGAGCGCATTAGGTGTGTGTGTGTGTGTGTGCAATTTTCCAATGTGTGTGTGTGTGTGTATGTGGGTGTCTGCAACAACTGATTAAAAAAGGTGAATGAACTCAAATCGAAACACACCACGTATGGTGAACTCTAACTCGTGTGGTGAGTTTAACTGAAAAAATGGGCAACATAAAGCAACAAAACAACAGAACACAACCGAAACTAAGACACTTAGTCTGATGCATTTATATATAAATATATAGTGTATATATATTCATATTTACCTGCTGCGCCGTGCTGGCGATGCTTCCTGCTCCTGCAACTGTTGCACGCGAGTCGTTTGCTTCTCAAAGCTAATCTTCAAGTTGCCACTCTCCGTTGTTGTCGCCGTTAGATTTACTGTGCTGGCGCTACTGCTCACCAGTGCACCCAAAGCTGGCGAAGACTTACCACTCTGATGCTGTATAACGCTGGAGGAGGTGGATGAGGCAGTATTGCCGCCGCTACTGCTGCTGCTGTTGTTGTTGTTGCCAGCGTTTGCTCCAGCTGCATATGCACCAGCGATGAGTGGCGACTGTGTTTGTGACTGTGCTGCACCGCCTTGTTGCATGCTGCCATGTGTCTCTACAAAGCATTAATAATGACCACCATCAATAAAGATTTGATACGTCTTTTTAACATCACTTAAGCGAAAATCGATTACCTTTAACATTATTATAATGCATTGTGACCTATTAGATCTATTGTGACCCCTTCCGAGCCTATATCTCCTCCATCAACCCTAGCTCCTACACAAATGCTAGAATCTTTGTTGGGATGAGGGTTTCTATGTCTTTGAAGTTCATAGCATGCATCCCCATGATGCTATATCTTTTCCTGATTAAGGCGATTTGGTTACCCTTATACGACCCCTATAAAGACCTACCCGATAGTTCTTCCCCTTTTCGTTTAAGCGCTTTATTACTAATTATTTATTGTATACACATTTTCAAGTACTCTGTAATAATACACTTTTTTTATACACTTTGAAATTTATTATCAATTCAGATTTATGATATTTCTATCATTAAGAATTCAATTTGAAACTTGTCTTGGCCCGTGAATATCTTTTTTGTATGCATCATTACTAATTAATAGTAGTACTTTTTTATTCTGATTGGGTTTTTCATGGGTTTTCCTCAAGTCCATGCTACAAATACTGGATTCCATTCTGAATTTAAATACCCCTAGAAATCGTATAAATCTTATGTTTTCTCAATTTAAATATATCGTATTAACAATTAATTTGTTTTCCTTTTTATGTTTTTCAAATAAATAATAATTAATAGGTAATTGAAGCTCACCTGTGCTGCTGCTGCTATTGCTGGGCAAATTAATACCAGGTACATTGGCTGTGGACAGCGGCACCGAGACATACAAGCTGGGCGCAGCACTGTTGCTGCCACTTGTGGCAGTATTGTTGCCATCCTTGCTGCCATGTTTACTGCTGTTGCTGCTGCTGCTGCCAATTGTTTTGCTTGCCTCGCTTTTCGCATAACCACCAACGGTTGCAGTAATGCTGCTTGCCAAACTGCTGCCAGTGCTCGTTGTGGTGGTGCCACCAGTGCCTGCCCCTCCTGTTGCTGTAGCTGTCGAGCTGCTGCTCGCTGTGGTTACTGCTGATATCGTTGTCCCACTCGCAGCTATCGTCGCTGTTGTGGCGCCACTCGCCAACGTCGCGTTCACCTCGGCGGTGGCGGATGCTTGATGCGTGGGTGGACTCAACTCGGTGCGTTGCTGCAACGATAAAAGGGAATTTGTTTTCGGTTAGTTGGATGTCTTTCTTAAATACCTAAAGAATACTAAACTCTTATTACTTTCTTAATTTAAAAAGGTATTTGACTGGCGTCAGGTTAGTTGTTCTAAGATGAGTCATTGTTAATTAAAAAAGGCAGTATTATTACTAGAAAGTCATAGTTGTCACTTGAGTAATTATATTTATATTTCAAATCTATATTGAGATTATTTTTACGATTCTCAAACATTGAAACAGATAGCAATGGAATAATAAAGTTGTGCAAAAGCCAGAAATAAGCATTTCCGACCTCATAACGTATATATATTCTTGATCAGCAAACAAAAGACGAGTCGTTCAAGTCAAGTTTATCCGTCTGCCTCTCTGAGTATCCGACACAGATAGACTTCGTTGCTATTATAGATCAGTTGTAAAAATCTCATCAAGATCGAATAAGAAACACCCACATTATGAATCCAAATTGCTAAATGCTAGCGTAGGCATTTCCTGCATACATAAATAAGTGGGCACACGGCTTACTAATCAAATCAAACCTAATTAATATATGTGTGTCTCCTCTAAATATATTATGAATATTAATTATATATGTATATATATTTATATTTTTGTAGGCACGCTCTTGGCGCTAGTCGCTGAGCTCATACGGGGTATATGAATAAAAAACTTGCGCTATCTTAATTTATTTGATGTTGTTCTTACCCTGCCCAGTCATAAATCATGACAGCCCTTAGATAACTTAAATTGCCTAACTTAACCTGAACCTTGCTTGCTGCTAGTAGTTTTCTCCATATTTTGTTTAACAAAATCAGTTTGTCCTTTCTCCGATCTTAATGAAATTTATACAAATGATCAATAATATGTCAGAGTATATTAAATATCAATTGTATGGCTATATTCTTTACAATTGCTATAGAAAATCGTTTTTAATCGGTTTTCGGGTGCTGTTATCGATCAAATCGATAAATAAACTTGATTTGCCTAAGCAAGAACTTATATTCCAAAGTCTCTTGCTCTTATAGTCGCCTGAGAACAGACACACAAGCGAATATTTTTAGATCGACTCGGATTTTGATGCTGATAACGACTATATATATACTTTGTGGGGTTGAGAAGATGCTTTCTTTTACCTGTTACATTCTTCTGCACCATTTTTACTATACTCTTTACAGATTTGGAGTGTTTTGTATGATAAGAAGGTTCTGTCTTATTGTGAATAATTCGGTGTAATAATAAACTGCCAAAAGCGAGCGGAAATTATGATCATACTTGTGTGAAACAAGTAGTACCCTGCTATCTGAATAATAGTTTTAATGGACGTGTGCATCAAATGAGTTTTTAGCTTGAGGCAGTTGAGCCCAGTGCCCAGAGCCCAGCATATGTTCCATATTATTTTCATGCTTCGTTTTCAAGTGCTTCAAACACTTCCAGCGGCATTTCTTGATAACCTTCGTTGCTATGCTTATGTTACTCACAGTTGTTGCTGTTGCTCTTTGTGGTCATTAAGTCTTGTCGACACTTCCGGCCACAAATTGCGGCATGTAAACAGCACACACATGTTTACAGCCATAAAGCATAAGAACAACAAACAACAAACAATTGATTGAAAACAACACCCGTTTAACATTAACATTTGACATTTAACAGCAAGCTGTTAACAGCCAACAAGACCACAATCAATGCAAGCCAAAGGCAAAGACCAACCCCACAACTAATGTTGATAAGTTAAAACATAGAAGGGGGCACGGCGACGGCGCCGCATGTGTTCCACATAGATTATGAAAGCTGCCAGTCAACAAACAAGCGAGACATGCGTGTGTGTGTGTGTTGTATACAATGCAACTAAAAGCTTATCGGTTGCGTCAACGTCGTTGGCAAAGGTAACAGCAGCAATAACAGCTTGTAACAAAATGAGTCAGAGTCAGAAGAATGCAACAGCAGCAGCAGCAGCCGCTGTCAAAACTCGGCGAGGGCAAAAACGGCTGCAACAATGAACGAGTTTCCTTCTGTTATTTTTTTTTTTCCATTCTGTGGTTTCCCATATGCTGCCAGATGCAACGATTTGTCTGTCTGTATGTATGTGTGTGTATTTATGCATGTATTTTAGATCGAGCAGCCAAGTTGCCTGCAGCAAATGCACAAACAATAAAGAGCAAAAACAAAAAAACAGACGCTGGGAACAGTCGTTCCCACTCTCTCAGGCGCTTACTCTCTGTTCGTTACTCCTTTAACTGTTCCCTTAACTGGCTCTCTCTCTCTCGCTCTCTGCCTCTCTTAGTGCGTGAGCGGCGCATTGTTATTTATTTGGGTGGTGGTGGGGGGTTCTGTGAGTAGCTGTCATTGTTGTTGTGGTGTAGTCACGTAGACACAAACTAGCGCACAGCGTTGCCACATAGTCGAATGCAATGTGACAATGTCCAATCAGAACGGACACAAATCAACTAAGAAGTTGCCAGCCTGTTGCTGTATCAAAAAAGTGTCAAATTTCAAGTAAACAGCTTCAAGCCTCATTAGATTTGGGTCATCCACAAAAAAGAAACAACTAAAAGCTAAACACACTAAAAGTTGTCAATGGCCACGTTTCCTGGTCACAATAAAACGGTTTTATTAATGCGGCAGCTGTTTGCCAAAAACCAAATAAAAAAAACCACACACAAAAAACATGGCCGCCATTATTGAAAGTGATTATCCTGTTGCTGCTGTTGCCGATATCCCAGCAGCAGCAGCCAGCAGCAACCCCTTTAACAATTGCGTGCTTTGCATTTCCTCGAAACGTTCTTTCTCACTGTACTTCCGCACATATTTCAATTGTTGAAGCAAATTCAATAAAAGCGACAGCCGGAAACAAAATACCAACTATAAATATTATATTAGCGTATGTCTGCAGCTTTTCAAAAGGGTTCTCATTCTCTCTGTCTCTCTCTCGCTCACTCACTCAGCGATCGGCGGGGCTCAGGACACACAAAAGGGTTGTCCTTGTCCGCTTTACGTCTGTCATACAGGCAGAAACCAACACAGCCCAAGGAGGAGGACAACAGCAAAAGTCTGTCTAATTAATCAAATTGAAATAAACGACTGTTTGCATTGAAGAGAGACAACCAAACTGAAAACCAAAAGTACTCGTCAGACAAGGACAACAGGGGGAAGCAAAGACTTTTGCAGATAAATTATATTTATAAATATTCTTTTCATATTTGTATAACAACAACCCGACATATTCCAAGAGCTAGAAATTAACTCAAAATTACCTAACAGAAATTCCTTAAATAGCAGGTCCTTAAATGCTTATGGCGAATTCCAAAAGAGAACAGAACAAGAAGGGAACAAGAGCAAATACAATAAATACCTGAGACTCAAGCCTTGAGAGGTAGACGAGGAAGAAGAAGACGGGACACACAATCACACACACACACACACACGTACAACTGGCAGCTGTAATAAGATCGAATGCCGGATCAATCAGCCGCCAGGAAAGAACAGAAGCAGCAGCAGCAACACATAACAAACAAACAGGGGCGTCACACACACACACATCTTGGCAGCTGCCGTAAACTAGGCACAAGGATGTGCGAGGTTCGGCACAGGATACAGCAGGCATTATTATCCTTGAGCGCGCGCAAAACTAGAAGGGATAAGGCGAACAGCTGTCTGCCCAGCCCGAGTTCGAGTTTAAGTTTCTTCTTTTTTTTCTTTTGCTGTGGCCAGGACGACATCACGTAGGCCACCAAAAGGGAAACATGCGGGTCTCACTGCCTGCCACAGGGCAGCTGAAGCGTCTTAAATGCCAGTTACACTAATCAATAATCGGCCCACGATAGACACAATTGGCCAATTGGATCAATCGGACAGACAGACAGACAGCACCAGCATTTTCATTGCGTTTCCTTTGTTTTGGCCATGTGGCAGGCAACAGCAGGTGGCATGCTCCCAGTTCATTAAAGCAGGCGAAGGCTCACTTACAGGTGCACACAAAAAAACATAAAATGTATGTGCCTCAATTATTGGTGTAGCAATGCAACAATGTCATTTTCCCTGGAATCGAAGTGGTTGCAAAAATGTCCTAAATGAATGCAAATATAGCATGCAAATTGCAATTTAATTGACGTCTTCAGTTGTTTATTCTTTTTGCGCCACGCATAATTACTCTGTACTTTTATAAGCCCTATCAAAACGCTACACTCAGAAAACAAAATTGTCCTGAAATGTAGAAAATGGTTTACAATGGAAATCACTGGGTTTTAGAAATAATTTCTATAAATAAAAATAAATTTCTTTAAACTAAAAGGTCTATTTTTCTATTTCTTTAAAAATAATTTTTGTTTTGAAAAACTTATTTTAAAAAGTAGAAATAATAAATAGTAGAAATGAAATAATTTCTAGCAAAAATACTTCCAAAAAATTTGAAAGCCGTAATAAAATGTGCTGTTTTGACTTTTATATTAGAGTAATAAAATATTTAAGATCTTTTTAAATCAGTAAAAAGTTATAAAAGTATCAGAAATTGTTGTCGTCCAAATTAAGAAACATTTCAGTACAAAGTTGAATCTTTGCATGACCATAAAATACTAATAATAAGCAAAGGCTTTTATACAATAATTTCGCTTTTAAAAATACGCCATTGAATAATTTATATCAGTATATACTCTAATCTGCTACCCTTTTTGTATTATTCCTTTTTTTTTTGGCATATTATATGCACCCTTCAACTACCTCTAAGTCAAAATAATATTGATCAACGTAAGCCCACCGGCTGATTCAAATGTAATTGCTTATGGTATTAAGTTTAAATCTTTTTAATAATTAAGTTTAATTCAATTACAATAGATAGACTCAATTGCCATGCTGTAATATCTAATGGATGAACAGGAATCGTCAAAGTACATAAGAAGATGCAGTGTCCTCCATATATATCTCTTAATGCAGGCAAAAAAAATTCTAAGGTCCCAAAATATTGATGAAAGAGCTATAGGCTCATTAACTATTT